ATCGAAGAAGAAGAAGAAAAAGAAGAAAGAGAAGAAGAAGAAACAGCATATACATAAACGTTTGGCGCTCCGCGCGACTTTCCTGGGTCCGCGCTGGGGCGCCCACAGGCGGCGCCTCCGCGCTGCGCGCGTCAGGGAGGGGGGTCCAGCGCAGATCCAAGAAACCCGCGCGGCGAGTCGAACAGTGCTTGTTTATGCAGTTTGTTCTTCCTCTCTTAAAACAGACGTCAGCAAACAACGAGTTGTTGTTCGATGCGCTGAAGCTTCTTTGCCTAGACGCAAGGGGTCCAGACCATTTGCGAGTAGCTACTTTGCGGGTAGGGGGACGCGCTTGTCTACACAGGAGGGGGGCGCGGAAGACGGAGCGGTCACTTCAGCCCGTGCCCCACGACCTAGCACCTTTGGATAGAGGCCGCCGTGAGAGGGGCGTGCCGTTGTTGCCCCCTACTCCACCTCCAGTTTGCAGCTGCATGCCAGTTGCACGCACGCTGCTCACGATCCTCGCCGATCCTCCTCCTGCGGTCCTGCGGTCCATCCCTTGCTGGCCGAGGTGCCACACCGTCCTCCACTCGGCCGCCGTGGTGGAATCGGAGAGCCCGCCTCTTCCCCCGAGTGCTGCGCGCTGCCGAATTCGGAGCATGGCGGCCCGGGAAGCGTGCAGCGGGCTGCCCGCGGAGCGTGTACGATTGGCTGCGCGTCGGAGTGACCCCTCGCCAGAGTGACCTCCGGTGCGGGCCCACAGGGGTTCAGTGGCCTGTAGGCTCGGATGTGCCCCCCCTCGCGGCCCCCGAAAGCCGTGCAGAAACGGTCATTCTTGCCTGGTGTCGCTGCCTGCGTGTGGCCGAGCACTACTAATTTTCAGCCTGCTTTTTGTGGCCGGGCAACGACGTAGAGCGATGCCCCGCTGCACGAGAAAAGTTCGCAGGCTGCGATCCAGCACAGCTCCCAGCCAGGAGACCGCGCCCTGAGATCCGACTCTGCGAGCAAGAGCAGGGTCGCGACAAAAGCCCCGACAGGATCCCCACACCCGCTGTCTTGGTGCATGTTCATTCGCGCTGGATCGATGGATGATGGTCCTGGGGCGAAGTCTGGCCGGTCCCCCCTACAGGGGGATCTTCGACGAAAAATAAAAAATACCCCAAAAATAGTCCAAGAATAGTCTGGGGACTATTTTCTGAGGGTTGATCATTTGGGGGCATTGTTGGGGGTATTTTTTTTTTATTTTTCGTCGATCGAAAATCCCCCTGTAGGGGGACAGGCCCGACCTAAGGATGAGGGCCCTGGGGCCCGACATCGGGCGGCGAAGCGCCCGGTGCGCAAGTGCCGCAAAACGCCCGGATCTCGGGGGATGCGGAGGCGCAGGGCGGAGGGCGGCGCAGGGCGGCGGCGGTGAAGCCGCCGAGAAGGGTAAGGCGGGCAGGTGCCTCCACGGGCGGAGGATCCAAGACGAGCAGGTGCCTTGTTCATTCTCTGCCTAATAGAGCAGAGAGAGGTCCAGCAGGTCGCCCTGCTGGAGCGTGCTGTGCCGCCTGCCACACAGCTCGTGCACTTCAGGCAGTGAGGGCGTTGAGTCCAAAAAACAAACGATAGTCCTTGGGACGCTTGCTCCAGAGTTGTGTGGCTGAGCAAGCTTGCTCCAGAGTTCTGGGGCGCTTGCTCAAGATAGTCCTGGGACGCTCGCTCCAGAGTTGTGTGTTTGATGAAGCTTGCTCCAGAGTTCTTCTGGGGCGCCTGCTCAAGATGGTCTTGGGGCGCTCGCTCCAGAGTTGTGTGTTAAAGAAGCTTCGAGTATGGTTTGACTATTTCTTGTTGCTCTTTCAAGTCCCGCCTGTAGGGGAACAACAAGTGGCATAAACATAGAAACTCGGAGGTCCGCGCGGATTTCTCGGATCGGCTCTGGGGCCCCCCGGCGGCGCCTCCGGCGCCGCCCCTGGCGCGCTCCGCGCGCCAGGGAGGGGCGTCCAGCGCCGATCCGAGAAATCCGCGTGGACCTCTGAGTTTTTATGTTCATTTCATTTTTTGTTTCCCTAAAGTCGGGCATGGCCCTCTACAGGAGGAGGATGCAAGACGATCCAAATGATAGTCTGGGGACGCCTGCTCCAGAGTTGCGTGTTTGGAAAAGATTTGAATCTGGTTTGACCATTTTTCATTGTTCCTTCAAGTTCCGCATGTAGGAGGGCGTGCCCTTTGTCCTCCTTCCGCTCTTGCACGCCGGACAATGAGCTCAGTAGTGCCCAGGCTTCGCTCTTTTGCTGGCGCGGATTGCCCTGCCTCGCCGCCGACGAGAAAAGTAAGAGGACATGCCCGACCCAAGCCGAGGGCGATCATTGCGGCGAGAAGCTGGCGCAGCGGCGGCGGAAGCAGCGGCACGAGCGGGTGCTGAGGCAGGGTCAGGAGGCATCGGGGATGAGGATCGAGGATCGAGGATGGAGGATCGCAGAGAAGGAGGATCAAAGAGGAGGAAGAGGAGGAGGAGGACGGAGGAGGAGGAGGAGGAGGAGGAGGAGGAGGAGGAGGAGGAGGAAGAGGGGAATATCGAAGAGGAGGAGGAGGAGGAGGACGAAGGAGGATCGAAGAGGAGGATCGAAGAGGAGGATCGAAGAGGAGGATCGAAGAGGAGGATCGAAGAGGAGGATCGAAGAGGAGGAGGAGGAGGAGGAGGAGGAGGAGGAGGAGGATCGAGGATCGAGGATCGAGGATCGAGGATCGAGAATCGGGCACCGGCCAGGCTCTGTGCTCTTCTGCGCGCGCGCGCCTCGTGGAGCGCCCCCGCGTCCACTTCCGAGGCTCGCCGTGGGGCTGCGTGCCGGGGCAGTACCGCACAGGGCGTCCACGTCGAGGCGGACGTCCGGGGGCGCCCGCCCCGAGACGGTGGGGGGCGGCCGGCGTTCGTTTTTCCGCGTCCTCGGCCTTTGGAGCCCCCCTGCTCGGGGCGCCCCAGGCAGGGAGGAGGAGGAGGAGGAGGACGACGAAGAGGAGGAGGAGGAGGAGGAGGAGGAGGAGGAGGAGGAGGGAGGAGGAGGAGGAGGAGGAGGAGGAAGAGGAGGAGGAGGAGGAGCAGGAGGAGGAGCAGGAGGAGGAGGAGGAGGAGGAGGACGAGCTCTGGGGGTTCCACGTCATCACACACACACATCGTCGAATGTTAGGCCACTCCAAGCCTCCAGTAGGAGGCTTCTAGGGCCGCAGATCGGGGAAACGAGAGACTCGAGTTCGCTGGATCTCGGGCTTGCCAACACTTTTTGACAGGCTCGTTCTGAAATTCGTCATCCAGTGTCCGTGAGATGTTTGCAGCGCGCGCTCGCGTCAAATTTCATATTGGATGTCGTCATTCTCCTGACGGCCCCGTCGGGCTAACACGAGTCCCCCGAACGCGAGTATATCCGCATCGCAAGTGCACTGGCGACACGGCGCGATCTGGGATTATGTCGTCATCATCGCGGCGTCGTCGACGCACCGTCGATGCCTCGGCGATGCGGTGCGCTCTGTGGGCCCGCAGGTCTCCAGCTCTGGCAAGCAGCCGTCAAACCTCTTGAGGCCATAGGGCCTGGGAACGGTCTCGCCCTCCGCGCCTTCCTCGGTTCGTGCGGCTAGCTCTTCTAATGTTTTGCTCCCTATCCTCTTCTCCGCCCGCCTCCTCCGTCTCTACATCCTCCCTCGTCAATCTCCAATCTCTCCTCCCACTGGTTCTCTCCTCGACCACTCCGCCCTTCTTCGTCCTCCCTCCGTCCCTCCCTCAATCCATCCCCTCGCCGCGCTCCCTCCTCCATTATTTCTCCTTCTCCTGGGCTGCCTCCTGAGCTCCCAAACCTCCGACGTCGTGTTTTTTTGTTTCACAGCCGCCAGCAGTCTGCACACTTCCCCCCCTCGCACCTGCTTCTCCTCCGAGCCGTCGCTGTTGGGGCCCGGGGCCAGATGAGGGTCCCCAGAGGCCGAGCACCGCATTCAAACATGCGTCCGGCCTTGATCTGCAGCTAAACGAGGAGGCCCATCCCGCCCCCAGCCTTATGATGCTCCAACCTACTTTAGCCTTGATCACCAGGAAGAATTTCGAGCGCCCAGAAAAAGTACCGAAACTCAAGGGTTTTCACGTGCCGGGCCCTGGGAGACACTGTTTCGACACTGTTTCGACACTCTTTTGACACTTTTCTGGTGCTCGAAATTATTTCTGGGATGCGGTCCTTAAGTAGGACGGGAACAACATAACCCCAGCCCATTCCCCCACCCACCCGTCCTTTTGCTTTGGGCAGGCTGTCGGGCGGACGAGCACATGCAGGCGTCCGCAGTGCCGGCTCGGGACGCGCGCCAGACAGACGCCTCGAGCCGGCTTCAAGCGCGGGCGGAGCAGCCAGGCAGCCGGGGGGGCTCGTACAGCCCCACCTGCCTCCTCCCTGCTGCTACGCCGCGGCCAGCCCCACCTCCAAGGCCGATCCTTACTGGCCTCTCGAGGTTCAGGCCCGGCTACGTACTCCGGGCCCCGAGGTACCTGACGCTGCAGACCATTGCAGCATCGCGAGTCACGACCAGAGCTCGATCGGGGCTAGGACACAGGTAAATCCGTTCCGCAGTGCAGGAAAGCTGCCCGTACCGCTAGTTCCCTCTTTTTCCTATTTGTTTGGTCTCATGGGAAGTCCTCGTAGCCACCGCTGTATTCGCTTCGAAATCCTGGTCAGAATGCGCCCCAGGAGATTTCCGGGGAGTAGCGGTATCAATACCTTTGGGTTTCCCCAGTTCCAGAGCGCTTCGGAACGTTCTCAGAGCGTCTCAGAGCGTTCGGGAACGCCCTGAGAAGGCCGCGGTGCCCGAAACATCCTCCAGAACCGCTGGACCTCAGAGATGATCGATTCATCCTCACCGCGTCCTGGCTTCGTCTTGTGAGCCCCAGGCCCTATCTTTCTGCCTCATTCTTCGAGCCCGATCAATCTGTGAGGGCCCCGCGGCCTGAAGCCTGACGATCGCGCCCCTGGCTCGAGCTGCCCCGGCGGCCGCGGGCCCTCGCGGGCATGGCGGACTCGGCCGCCCTGGCGGGGGCCTTCGCGGGCTTCGTGGAGACCCTGGCGGTGCAGCCCCTGGACCTGGTGAAGACGCGCTTCCAGCTGAACAAGGCCGCGCGGCGCGCACGGGGGCTCGCGGGAGGCCTCGGTGGTCTTGTGGTCTTCCTCGGTGTTTCTGGCCGTCGGACCTTCTCCTCCTCCCCCTCATCGTCCCCCTCCCCCCCTCCTCCCCCTGCTCCGAGGGTTCGTTTCCTCCTCCTCCTCCTCCTCCTCCTCCTCCTCCTCTTCCTCTTCCCACTCTCCTCCTCCTCCTCCTCCTCCCTCCTCCTCCTCCCTCCTCCTCCTCCTCCCACTTCTCCTCCCCCTCCTCCTCCACCTCCTCCTCCTGCTCCTCCTCCTCCTCCTCCTCCTCCTCCTCCTCCTCCTCCTCCTCCTCCTCCTCCTCCTCCATGTTCGACGTTCACTCAGATCGGGCAGTCGGCACAGCCCCGAAGCGAAGGGTGTCCTTCGGGGGCCCTGCCTCGCCGTCGCGGCGGGACACGGCTCGGCGAAGCGGCCAGGACGGGGCCGCGGGGATCCCGGGGCCCGTCCTGCAGGTCTCTCAAGAGAGAGGCGCCTGGGGAGAGGAGGAGGAGGGGGAGGAGGAGGAGGAGGAGGAGGAGGAGGAGGAGGAGGAGGAGGAGGGGGAGAAGAAGAGGGTGAGGAGGAGGAGGAGGAGGAGGAGGAGGAGGAGGAGGGGGAGGAGAGGAAGAGGGGGAGGAGGAGGGGGCAGGAGGAGGAGGAGGAGGAGGAGGAGGAGGAGGAGGAGGAGGACCGGTGTAAACCCTGGCGTCATCAACGATATTGGAATAGGCCCTCGCTCCAAGCTCCCGTTTCATAGGCCCCTACCACGGTTCATTTTCACTGTGGGAATTGCCTCGTTGGAAGACAACTGTTTGAAGACTCGGAAGCATGCCAAAAGGTTGTTCTCGGGATTCCAACGCCACGGATCAACCTAACTGTTGCGTCTTGACGATCCTGAATCGTGCCAGAACGCCATTCCTGGGATTTTAACACCGCGAATCAACGTACCTGTTGCACCCTCAGGGTCCTGAATCCCTCCAAAACAATATTTTCTGGTACGCTGATCATGGGAATCCGTGGAACTCTTGCACATTGTGAAAACGAATGTGCGCGGCGCGAAGGCCAGAGCCACATCTTGAAAAGGAGCCAGCCTCAATCCGTGAAGCTCTTGTGCGCGCGGAGCGGCGCGGAGCTAAGACGAGAGCCGCAATTTGAAAACCAGTCGCATTCAATCCGCGAAACCCTTGCAAATTTTGAAAACAACGGATATACGCGGTGCTAAGGCGAGAGCCACATTTTGAAAACGACCCGGCCTTCAATTGTGAAACTGTTGTCAAGGTTTAAGCTTCAGGGCCATATGTGGTGAGGAAGTCTCAGGCGAAATGCCCTGCGCGCCCTAAAAGCTGGCCTCGGGGTGCGTCAGGGAGAAGTTATTTGCAAGGAAAAGGAATGGAGGAGGAGGACGACGAGGAGGTGTAGCAGCCTAAGATGGCCAGCCCCCTCGCCCCACCCGCGGTCCAAATTCGATCCACGCTGGCCCATGGGCCCAGCCCCGGGGGTCCATCCCGGCCGGGGTTCGGAGCCACGCCCAGGCCGTGGCGACGAGAGCGTCCAGAAACGCACGAAGCCCTTCGAAACGACGCCGACGACGACGTCGACGACGACGTCGATGTCGTCGTCGTCGTCATCGTCGTCGTCGTCGTCGTCGTCGTCGTCGTCGCCGCCCTGATCCTCTTCGCGCGCCGCCAGCAAGCAGCGGAACCCCAGCGTTGCTGCCGCCCTGCGCGAGCTGGTGGCAGAGGGGGGCGCAGGCAGGCTCTACCGCGGGCTGCTCCCGGAGCTGGCGGGAAACGTGCCCACGCGCATGGGCATGTGGGCCGGCAAGGACTTCGCGTCCAGGGGCAGCGCAGGCAGCCGCGTGTGGCGCAGCGGCTTGGAGCGCCGAGCGCCGACGAGCTCGCCGACGCCCGCGGCGGTGGGCGAGGCGGGAGGCGCTGATCGCACCTGAGTCCAGAGAGGGCCTCGCCTTTGGCCCACCTCGCCTCTGGCGGAGGCCGCCAGGAAGCGGATCGGCGGCGGGTCCGCGGGCGGGAGGCGGCGGAGGCAGAAGTGAGTGAGGCTCCGACGGTTTGGCTATTATCCAGCACACGCGCACCCTCCCGGCAATCGATGTGGACCAGCAGAGGTTCACCAGTGAGGACTCAGGGATCGATGCGAAAACCCCACCAGGTGCGCTGGCGCGAGCGATTGGAACCCGCATCGGCGAACCCCCGGCCCTACTTGTCCAGACCGTTGGGCAGTAGGTGTGCGTACGGCTGACACAGGAGTTCAGAACAAAGCTATCGTTGGAGGGGTACCCTCATGTTAGTGTGTTGGCGCTCCGCCTCCACACGCTCATCGTTTTGGGCATCTCCATGGGGCATTGAGTCTTCGGCTGAGGGGGCTCACTTTCGGCCACGCGCAGAGTGGGTAGAGGGAGGGGGGAAGGCTTCTTAGAAGCACCCCTGCTCCTTAGAAGGCGCGGGCCTTATCTGTAGATGTAGGGCCGCTGCCTTCTAAGAAGCAGCCTGCTTCTAAGAAGCCTTCCTCCATCTTCCTACCCCCTTGTGCGCGCCGCCAGCTCATTTGCTTTTGCGGCCATGTTTCGGCTGCAAGATCCACATGTGGCTGCCTGCACATCTCGCGGGCCGGGTGCCCGCAGTCGGCGTGGACGGAGCTGGGCGCTGGGCTGCTCGCTGGGCTCCCCGAGGCCGTCGCCACAACCCCGTTCCAGGTGGTCAAGGTGCGCATGATGAGCAGGGAGAACAACGGCCTCTACCGCCACAGCGCGGAGGGCCGGAAGAGCATGCAGGGCACACACACAAACACACGTATCTACACATTCGCACGCACACACACACACACACATAAGCTTTTTCCGACCACGCGGCAATGGATCCAATCGGCGGTCAGTCTCAGTGGCGAGTTGCGGTCAAAGTCGTTGACTTCCTGGTGAAGTAGCTTGGTTGGGCGAAGCTTGCCAAACAGTAGACATGAGTACACACATGCAAGCCTCGGATGTCCGAGGGCCCGCTACTCTGCATGCGCTGGGCCTCCTCCACACTGGCACCCCTGCGGGCTGGGGAGGGGTGCGCTGCTCGTAAACCACCATCGTGCCTCTTCGTCCTCCTCTTCCTCCTCCTCCTCCTCCTCCTCCTCCTCCTCCTCCTCCTCCTCCTCCTCCTCCTCCTCCTCCTCCTCCTCCTCCTTTTTCCATTTCCTCCTCCTCCTCCTCCTCCTCCTCCTCCTCCTCCTCCTCCTCCTCCTCCTCCCCCTCCCCCTCCTCCTCCCCCTCCTCCTCCTGGCCCGCGCCACGGATCCATGCCGACCAGGCTGGCGCACTCGGAGCCTCGTGGCCGAGACCGAGAGGGCCTGTGCACCGTGCCAGGGCCCAGGGTTACCCTGGACAGCCATGGTGGTGGTGCACGAGCGTCTAGGCCTCCCGGATGGGGTCCGAGCAGATGGGGTCGGTGGATCGCGACGCATCGCCGATGCACCGGCGATGCGGCTCGATGTGGGGCCCGTGTTTCCCCATGCCGACGTCGCCGATGCCATCGCCGACGGCGCCCGTGCATCGCCGATGCATCGCCGATGCATCGGCGGTGCATTGGCGATGCGGTGCAGTCCTCCGGCCCCATCTGCTCCGACCCCATCTGGGAGGCAGCTACCTACGCCATCGAGCTGGGAGCGGTCGAGGCTGACTGCTCCACGCGGCATCGCACGCTCACCGGAGGGCTCGCTGAGACAGCGGCGGCTCCACCGCCAGGCCCCCCATCCGCTCAAAGTTGGTCCCCGAGTCCCTCCCAGGGTCCATCCTGACCCAGTCTTCGAGGAGGGCCCCGGCGTGGTGACGGGAAGCTTCCAGGAGGCCCAAGAAGAACGCAGGCAAACGCCGGGGTTGGGTTGGCGTTGTCTCGACGGGCCTTCCGAGGAGAGCCGCGAGCGTTGGAGGCTGAAGGATGCCCTCCGGTGTCAGCCGCCAGCGCTAGCCTCGGGCGTTGCACAATGATGGGGGCGATACGGTAGAGGGAAACAATTACTGAACACTCCCCCTCCCCCCAAAACTCAAGGTTGGCGCGCGCGGGGGAGACTGCGGTCGAGGTGCAACTCGTCAGACACACCGCCAACTCTGAACATTTGGGGGAGAGGGAGGCGTTGACAGATGAATGTGGTATGAGTGTTCGATATTTTCCGAGGCCTGTACATGTAGACGCGCTAACGGTGTGTTAGCTAACGGCGAAGTAGGACATCCATTTGTAGGAAGGCGTGGTTTTTGACCAAATCAATTGTAGGAACGCGTGGTTCGCGTTTTCCAATATTTCGCTGTGTCAATTTCGTTCGGTAGATTCGCAGATTTGGAATGTAGGGAACGGCCTTTCGTGATTTCCTTTATTCTGTTCTTCGTGAGCTCACAAAAACCAGATTCCCAACCGCACCGTTGACCAAGCACGCCGTTGGCGCGGCCTTGGAGGCGGGGAAGAGGTGCACGTCTTGTGCCCCAATCAGAGGGGCACGGAAGGTGCACGCGTCTCGCCCGCCCCCACTCCCCAAATCATATCGCCCCCCATCAATCAGGAGGGGGAAGAAACGCACACACACACACACGATTCACTGTCGACTCCCAGGGAACTCTGGGAAGTGCATGGGGGGAAACATGGAAGAGCCAGAACGTGGGGGCAACACGTCGGGCGAATCCTGGGCTTTGCGGGTACTTTTATTCGTGTGTCCCGCGGCCTGGGCTCCCAGACCTCCGACGTCGTGATTTTTTCACGACGTCGACCCCAAGAGGTTTGGACCCTTGCCCCAGGACCGGTTCTTCATCCTGAGTCGTTTTTTGACGGTCCCGAGGCCCGGGAAGGGCCCACAGAGGCCGAAAATAGCCAAAAACCTTCCGTCGTGATTTTTTCACGACGCGAGGAGGTCTGGGCTCGCCGCGCACATGCTCCCCCTGCCCTCCGCGGCGGCGCCGACTGCCTCGTCCGCGTGCTGCGGGCCGAGGGCGCGCGCGCGCTGCTCCGGGGCCTGCCGGCCACGGTGGCCAGGAACAGCGGCGGCGCGCCAAGGGAGGGGGGGGGCAGGGGCGGCGGCGGCCGTGCCGTCGATGCGGGCATGTCAATGTCCCTCTGCAGGAGGGAGATTCAGGAAGAGTCCAAACATCGTCCGGGGACGACTGTTTCGTATTCTGTCTTGAGTGTGTTCGAGGATGTGTCGGCTATTGTCTCGAGAGTGTGTTCGAGGATGTGTCTTGAGTGTGTCGAGTATGTGTCTTGAATGTGTCTGGAATGTGTTCGAGGAGGAGGAGGGTTTCTGCCCAAACCCGGCCGTAGGAGGACATGCCCGGCCTAACCATACCGAGCGCTGCCGTCGACGTCGCTGCGGACGTCTCCGGGGCGTCGCCGGACTCTTTCGTCGCCGCGGTTGGATGGAGCCTGTTTTTGTTGGGATGCGGGCAAGTTTGCTTGCATGGATTTCGCCCCCCCCACCCCCCCCCCCCGCGCCCTTCTTCAGACGAGCACTGGCGTGCAAGTGTCTTTCGACTTGCGCGGCCTCCGCACGTGCAGGTCATTGGAGGCTTACTTCTGGTTCAAGCCCCCCACCCCGTCCATGCGAGTGGACTTGCCAGCGTCTGTTAAAAAAAAGCTGCGCCTCCCCTGAGATCCTGGCGTGGCAATTGTTGCGCAACGGGCGCCTTGCCGCCCAGGCTCGGGCCCCGGGGCCCTCACGGATCGATGTCGATGCGGCTCGAAACAGGGCGCTGCAAGACGGGGCCCAGGGCTCCAGCGATGATTTCTCGCGGTGCTGCGATTGTATGGCAACGTCGGATCTCAGGGTCGGGAGGGTCGGGAGAGGGGGGGAGGAGCAGGAGGAGGAGGAGGAGGAGGAGGAGCAGGAGGAGGAGGAGGAGGAGGAGGAGGAGGAGGAGGAGGAGCAGGAGGAGCAGGCGCAGCAGGAGGAGTAGGAGGAGGAGGAGGAGGAGCAGGAGGAGCAGGAGGAGGAGGAAAAGGAGGAGGAGGAGGAGGAGGAGCAGGAGGAGCAGGAGGCGTTCCGGAAAGGGGCTCGCCTTCGAAGGCCGACGGAGGGCGGCGGAAGGACATGGCGGAAGCCCGCGGAGCAGTGACGCGAGGCCGCCTCGGCCGGCGGAAGCGGGCGGAAGGCCGGCGGAGTCACGACAAGTTGCTGGGGTTCGGGGGTTCCAGAATCGGCCAGATGTGTTCTGTCATGAAGGACAAGAGGTCAGGAGGGAAAGAAACACACAGACACAATTAATCGGCGATTCCCCAGAAAATATGGGAAAATATGGGAAGTGGGGGGGAAGACACAAACCCAGAGAATATGGGAAAATATGGGGAATCTTTTTATTTGTATGTATTTATTTGTGTGTGTCCTGGGGCCCCTTCAAAGAGAGCCCCGAAGCTTGACGGCACGACGAAGGCGTGGCCTCACCGAGGTCCCCGGCCTCGCGCCTGGTTTGGGCAGTTTGGTGTCATACATCTGCGGGGCAGCCCCCCCTTTTGTCCCCTATCCACAGACCCCTCGAGTCATGAAAAAATCACGACGGGAGGTTTTTCATTATTTTTGGCCTCCGGGGGCCCTTACCGGACCTCGGGACCGTCAAAAAACGATTCAGGACGAAAAACCGGTCCCGGGGAATGGGTCCAGACCGCTGGGGGTCGACGTCATGAAAAATTCATGACGTCGGGGGTCTGGGTCCCTAGTGCTTCTGGCCATCCTATCCCCAGACCCCCGACGTCATGGTTCCTTGAATTGCGTCGAGCCCTGCAGGCCTCGACCCGTTCCCCCGGACCAGTTTTTCATCCTGCGGCGTTTTTTTGTTTTTGACGGCCCCGAGGGCCGGTGAGGGCCCCCAGAGGCCGAAGATAGCAAAAACAAAGAAAAACAACTCCCGACATGATTTGTGCATGGCCCGAGGGGGTCTGGGTTGGGCCCCCTCCCAAAGGGTTTTGGGGGTCCTGGTCTGGCTTTCTCGTCGTCGCCGCGGCCGGAGGCGGCTTCGGCGCCCGCGTGCTTGGCTGATGTGCACAGCAGCCTCACGACAGCGCACGTGTGGAAGATGTGCTTCCTCTCTCGCTTCTCCTCCCTCCTCCCTTCGAGCCTTCTCTGTCCTGCCTCTGCCTCTTCTCCCTCCTGTCCCTCGGCCCTGTCCGGCCCTACCTCTCAGTCGGGCCTGTCCCCCTACAGGGGGATTTTCGACGACAAAAATAACAATACCCCCAAAATACCCCAAAAAGGTAAAAACAAAAAAAAACAAAAAATAGTCCCACGACTCTTGTTTGACTATTTTTAAAATCATTTTTGGGGGATTTAAAATTTTTCGTCGAAGATCCCCCTGTAGGGGGGACACGCCCGGCATAACCCTACCTCTGGCTCCCTTGCCGGGGGGCGGCTCGGGAAGCGGGCCCGGACGGGTCCCAGGCGGAGGCCCGGCCGGGTCGCGCCTTCGAGCGCGGACACGGCGAGAAGCCCGCGGCGGAGCGCGAGGGGCGGCCCTCGCCCTCGGAGCAGGCACGCAGCCCGTCGGACGCCCGCCCGCCCCTTGAGAGGTCCCTCCCAGGCCTCCTCGCGTCGGGGGGCGGGGGGGGGGAAACAAAAAGAAGGGAAAACAACAACAACAACAACAACAACAACAACAACAACAACAACAACAATCATTTTACCCGAACGCTCAGTGTTCTCCCCAGTGCCAGGGTTATCATGCGACGCCAGCCAATACCCCCACTTCGTGGGGGGGCAATGCAAGCTCTACCAAACATCCACACGACTCTAGGGAACCACCCACACCCAGCTTCCCGCCCTATGACGTCAGGACACTTCACTTCGTGGCGCGCGGACGATCGTGGATACTCACAGGGCTTATTGGGTCCTCACGGCGGGCTCTTGGGGCCTCTTGAAGGCCTCCTGGGGCAACCTATGGCGCAACCAGTAGGGGGACGTTTTATTCTCGGCGGCCGAGGGCGCAACCTATGACGCAACCAATAGAGGGGCGTTTTATTCTCGGCGGCCGAGGGCGCAACATATGGCGCAACCGCAAAGGATTCTGGCCCCTGGCAGGCGCGCGAACCCCGTTGCAAGAGCGTGCGAAAGTAGCTCGCGCGAGCTCATGTAACATAGATGTTGGAAAACCATTGGTTTTTTGAGAACGGACAGCGCGCGCGGGTGGAAATTTTGAAAAGTCGTGCAGGTGTTTTTCGAGGACCTACGGTGCGATTCGTGTGATTTTATGATGCGCGGTGCTAAAATTCTTAAAAACCCAATGATTTTTGGAGATTTCGGCGTGCGCGCGCGAAGAAAAAACGAATGTGTCCCGCATGGTATTATTTGACAGGGATGATGGCCCTGGCAGGTGCGCAAACGTTGTCGCAGAAGTTCGAAAAAGTTGCTCGCAAAAGCCCGTTTGACAGAATTGTTTAAAAAGTGTTGGTTTTCCTACGAATCCGCAAGAGCGCGCGGAAGAACATTTTGACAATTTTTTCTTAAAAAACCATTGGGTTTTTGATGTTTTTATGTTAAAATCGCTACGAAACCTAAGGTTTTGGAAGGATTTCGTCTTGCGCGCACGAATGTCCACTTTACCTTATTTTTTGCAAGGGATTCTTGCAATTTGATCAAGTAAGAACAAGAATTTTCATTTTATAGTGTTTTTTGCAAGGGAAAACGGAGTACAACAAAACAACCGGATCCGGTAATAATTCACTTTTCTGAAGCTTTCGCTAAAAAATGATGAAAATGTAGCTGCGGCCTAGGTTTTGGAGGGGGGTCGCGCACCAGGGGTCCCAACAATAATTATTCTTTAGAAGTAATAATGTTCAACAACATTTAAGACTGGGGACACTCCGTTCTCACCAGTGCCAGGGTTTTCATAGGAGGCGGGCAATACCCCCACTTTGTGGGGGGGCCGGTTCAAGCTCTACCAAATTTCCAAACGACTCTTCGCCACCACCCACACCCAGCTTCCCGCCCTATGACGTTCGGACACTTCACTTCGTGGCATGCGGACGACCGTGGCTACTATTCAGGGCCCCGCGGCCGACGACGACGGCGTGCGCGCGCGAAGAAAAAACGAATGTGTCCAATATGGTATTATTTGACAGGGATGATGGCCCTGGCATGCGCGCAACCGTTGTTGCAGAAGTTCGAAGCACGTGAAAAAGTTGCTCGCAAGAGCCCGTTTGACAGAAATGTTGAAAAAATATTGGGTTTCCTCAGAAATCCGCAAGAGCGCGCAAGATGATTGTTTGAAACTTTTTTTTTGAAAAACCATTGGGTTTTTCATGTTTTTATGTTAAAATCGCTACGAAAACTAAGGTTTTGGAAGGATTTCATCTTGCGCGCGCGAGTGTGCACTTCGTGTCATTTTTTGCAAAGGATTCTTGAAGTTTGGTTATGTTAGAACAAGACATGTCATTTTATAGTGTTTTTTGACAGGGAAAGCGGGCGTCAACAAAACAACCGGATCTGGATGACATCGTTTTACCTGAGACTTCCTCACGAAAATTATGAAAATGTGGCTGCGGCCTAGGCGCGGGGGGGGGGGCGTGCACCAGGGGGCCCAACAATAATTATTCTTTAGAATTAATAATGTTCAACAACAACAACAACAACAACAACAACAAGCGACGGAAGGTTTTCGCTTTTTTCGGCCTCTGGGGGCCCGTGCCGGGCCTCGGGGCCGTCCAACAACGACTCAGGATACGAGGAGCCCGTGCCCGGGAAGGGGTGCAGACTTCTGGAGGTTGGCGCTGTGAAAAGATCACGACGTCGGAGGTCTGGGCCGTTGAGGCCGTTGGGAAGGGTCCGAAGAACCACCTGACGTGGACCGCGTGTTCTCCCTCACGAGACCTGCGATCTGTCATGGCGCCAACATCGCAGAGCGGATCTCGTTTGGAAAACACTGGGATGGGCCCAGATTGGCCTGGAGAATTTCGCTCTGGATTTCGAAGTGAATTTCGCGCGTTTTTTTTTTGGCACAACTGAAGACTGCAAAAGATCCACGTGGTGACATTCACTTCACTTGTCCGTCGCCGTTTCGGGATCTTGTGTTGGCAGAAGTCCACCCCAAAAATCCACTGCAGCACGTCTGCAGGGTCGGTGCAGTGCGATCTCCACTTCCGATTTTGCTCGCAGCGCCGATCGCGTGGGCCGTCTCGGCTCCGGCCTGCCGGAGCTGCAGCCGGCGGAGCAGCACATATGTGCGCACGGATGGCCGGGCTTGGGCCTGGACGGTCCTGCAGGTGAGCGAGGCGGGCACGTCCCCCTACAGGAGGAATACACTCGGGGCGCTGAGGAAGGAACCCTTTTCGTTGGGGAGGGGCTCGGTGTTCCTTAGTTGTTTTGCATTTGGTTTTGCTTAGGGTTTCGATGGGAAATCGAAATTCAACTTCTGGAGAAAAGGGGCCTCGTTCCTTATTTAGGGTTCCTTAGGTCAGCGCCCCGACTGTATTCAAAAATGAACTAAATTTTTGGAGTATGTTTGCGCCTTGTTTCAGTATTTGTTGACTATTTTCAATTTGTCGTCCAAAAGCCGCCTGCAGGAGGACATACCCGACCTACCTCGTTGAGAACAAAGGACCCGTAACCCTGAGTAACACACGATGAAGACGTGGCCTCACTGAGGTCCCCGTCTTCCCATATCCGGATCGTACATCTGGGCGGCTTGGCCTGGCACACCTGCAGGCAAGACCCCCCTCTCCTTCATGCCCCTGGCCCTCCTAACTGTTAGGCCCCCCCCCACAAAGTGTTGGACGCTGTGCGCATCACCGAGCCCGACGTGGCAGCGAAGCACCACGCCCCCGTGCCGCCCGGCGCTCCGGTGCTCCTCGATGCGCGGGCCCCCATGGGGCTCGTCGACCACGTCGCATGGGGCCAGCCGGCGTCGCATCCGGGGCCGTTTCTTGGAGGGCCCCTGGGCCCGAAAGCGGCCTTACAAGCCAGACCTCCTCGCGTCGTGAGCGAAGTCACGACGGGAGATGTCTCGCCAGTTTCGGCCTCTGGGGGCCCTTGATCCCGGCCCTCGGGACCATCAACAAAAACGGTTCAGGAGGAGAAAGCGGTCCCGGGGAAGGGGTCCAGACCTCTGGGGCTCGACGTCGTGAAAAACTCACGACGGCGGAGGTTTGGGTTCGAGGGGCCAGGACAGGCGACGAACAGGTCGCCTCGCGTTGTTCGAGGCGCCTGGTGCCTGGGTCTGGGAGGTCGCCCTCTCCGCCGCCCGCCCTGCCCACCGGCTGCGCGCCGCCAGACGGCGTCTGGAACGGAGCGTACTTCTCGGCCGCACGCCAAGGGGTGGCCTTCCGCCGGAGTGGCCTCTGGCGCGCGGCCGCGGGGGAGGGAGGCACGCCCGAGCACGCGTGCCGCTGCTGTCGCATCGTTCAGGGTCGAGATTATTGGAGGGGGGGGGGGTAGGCCCAGGGTCCCAGACCCCCGACGTAATAATGATTTTTTCATTACGTCGACCCTTTCCCCATGACCGGTTTTTCGTCCTGAGTCGTTTTTTGACGCTCCCGAGGGCCGGTAAGGGCCCCGGAGGCCAAAAATAATGAAAAACCTCCCGTCGTGATTTTTTCATGACTCGAGGGGGTCTGGGGTGGGGGCACGCGCCGCCCCCCCTCCGCCCCATTCCTCGCCAGGGGCGGGTCTGATTCTGATGGCCCCCCCCGCCCAGGGCCGTGCGGAGCCGCCGTCGGAGGCCCATCGCCGACCTGCCGTCGGGGCCCTGAAGAAGGAACGCTTTTCGTTGGGGAGGGGCTCCGCGTGCCTTGAGTGTTTCGCAGCTTGCCTCGGGTTTCCCTTAGATTTTCGATGGGGAATCGAGGTTTAACTCATGGAAAAGGGGGCCTCGTTCCTTATTTAGGGTTCCTTGGGTCAACGCCCCGACTGTATCGCTGATGCATCGCCGGTGCGGGCTCGGTCTCCCCCCCGCCCTCCGCCCTCCGCCCTGAGCTGGGCCCCCTCTGACGTTGCCCCCCGGTCGTATACGCAGCGATCGGCGAGCCGCGCACCGCGTGGGTTCCTCTTGCCTGGGGTTATTAGCCCCCCTCCTCCTCCCCCTCCTCCTCCTCCTCCTCCTCCTCCTCCTCCTCCTCCTCCTCCTCCTCCTCCTCCTCCTCCTCCTCCTCGTCCTCCTCGTCCTCCCTCGTCCTCCTCCTCCTCCTCCTCCTCCTCCTCCTCCTCCTCCTCCTCCTCCTCCTCCTCCTCCTCCTCCTCCTCCTCCTCCTCCTCCTCCTCCTGCTCCTCCCCCTGCGTGCGGCCGGACTTCGCATCGATGTTCGAGATCAACCGGTCCCTGTCGGCCGGGGGGGCGCCGGGCGGAGGCCCGCTGCTGCGCCTCCAGCAGCTCGGCGCGGGCTTCTGCGGTGGCGTGCTGGCCACCTGCTGCAACGCGCCCCTCGACGTGGCGAAGAGCCGCATCCTGCGGCGCGCAGAGGGGGTGGGGGGACGCCAGCTCGAGAGGACCGCGCCTGAGGTTTCTGCTCGGTTCCGGCCTCCACGAGGGGGGGGGCCGCGGGAAGCTTGTCCAGGGGCGGGGCATGTGCCAGGGTGCACCCACCCTGGGAGGGGTCCGCTCCTGGGGCTGATTTTGAACGGATCCTGGTCGGAGGTGCACGGCGAGGACGACGACGTCGACGACGTCGTTTCGGAGGCTTCGGGGCGTCTCTTCGCCACGCGGCTGCGCACGGGAAAGCTGGCCAGGACGGATCTCGGGATCCCAGGAGCGGCCCCTCCCTGTGTCCGTTCTGGTCAGTTCTCCTAGCCGCATCCAGCCGTAGCGACGAGGACGCCCAGAAACGCTCAGAGGACGTCCTTACCGACGCCGTCGGCGACAGCGTCCCTGAGGTGCGAAGTTGCGAAAATTGCACAACGTCGCGGACAATCAAAACCGGAGCCGTAGACCCCCATCTTTCTGCTGCATGCTTACAGCCGGATCGATCTTGGAAGGTCCCGAGGCCCGAAAGTGGGCGGCGACGCCCTGTGCGAAAAATTGGCAATGCCCGGATCTCAGGGACGGCGTCGCTTTCCGCGGCGTCGCCCTGTCCCCCTTTGGCACGCCGCCCGCGCATCCAGGCTGGCGCCGGTCCCGACCAGCCGCGCGCGTCGACGTGGGGGGTGTTGATGGGCGTCGTGCGGCTGGAGGGCGCGGGCGCGTTGTACAAGGGCTTCGCGCCGAAGGCGCTGCGGATGGGCATCGGCGGTGCGGTGGGGGTGGTGGCCTACGAGCTGGCCGTGGGCGTGCTGCGATGAGGGCTCTTCCCCCCTCCCAGCTCCTGGAGTGCCCCTCCGCTCTTCATGCTGGACAGGCTTTGGTGACGGAGCCGTAGCGCCGCCCTGCTCCTCCTGCTCCTCCTCCTCCTCCTCGCCCTTCCGTGGCCATGTGGGCTCAAGCCACATGTTGGGCCCGCAGGCCGCGCGGCGACGGTGGCGAGCGCTTCGTCTTCACGCTGCCAATCACGCTATGGTCGAGCCATGAATAATGAATAGTATTCCGCTGGGTGCTGCTCACTGCGCCATGGCACACGCGTCCACACACACACACACACCACACACACAGCCGCTGCAATTAAATATGAAAGACCTGCAGACCAAGCCGCTCAAGCTGGAGCTGGCCAAATTCCTCACCACGTCCGCCGATCGTCAGTGTGGCTCGCGCACTGCTTTGGCCAACGCGGTCGTGTCCCTTGCCCACGTGTTGTTGACAGGCTGCTTTTACAAGGTCCCGCCGGAGTAGGGCTGTTGTACAGCTTTTCCCTATTTGTCCTGGCGAGTGTGCTGATCCGTTTGTTCTCGACGCCTGCAGCCGCGAAGGCTCGGCGACAGTCGCGGGATTAGTTGGCACCTTTGACGTCCACGGGTCCGCCTACGGTGCGGTCGAGGACGCCACGCGTGCGTGGTTAGCTGAGCTGGATCCCGCCGCGGCGCAGGGTGGTCCCAATTGTGCGGGTCGCCTTCGTAGTTGCGCTCGCCCGTGGCGTTCCTGAGCTCGCGAGCGTCACCGCTGGTGATGGTCGTGGCCCTCTCGTTCATGGCCCCGTCTCTGCCGACGGCGACGGCGCGGCCGTGGCTCGTGCGGCCACTGCTTCCGCGAAACTGGACGAGCTGCCTGATGACATCACCGCCGCTGGCGTCTGCCTGCGCGATGAGATGCAAGTTTCAGGAGGGAAAAAACACACAGACACAATTACTCCGACGGTAGGACCCCGCATGAAAACCTGTTTAGCTTACCCTTTGCCCTTTCCTCCTCCCCCTCGCGGACATCCTCTCCTCTCGCCATTTGCACTGCCCTCTCTTCCTCCTTCTATTTCTCTTCCTCCTTCTCCTCCTCCTCCTCCTCCTCCTCCTCCTCCTCCTCCTCCTCTCGCGCCACCTCCTCCTCGTCGTCGACCTCCATCATGCCCCTTCCCTCCTCATCCTCCTGCCTCGTCTTCATGTGCGCCTCCCGTTCCACCTGGTCGTGGCAACCAACTCGATTTTCCTCGGCGCCGTCGCCGCGTCGGCCAGCACGCGCGCGTTTGCCGACGGCTAGATCGCGAAGCCGTCGGGGCAACCCTTCGGGCCAGGCCGTTGGGACAACCTCGCAGGCCGCAGGGGCGCGGGAGCCAGCCGTTGGGACAACCCCGCGGGCCTCCAGGTGCGCGCCGCGGCGCTCAGGCGGTGGCAGCACGAAGCCCAGCTCTGCCGCGAGCTGCTCCGCCTCGGCCCTGGAGTCCACCGCTCTCTTGTCGAACTCCTGGAGCGCCTTCCGCAGTGGCGCTGGCGGCCCGCGCTCCAAGAACTCTCGCGCGGGCGGCCGCACCATCAGCACGTTCCGCATGCGCGTGGCGCGGGAGAGCATGACGTAGAGGTGCAGCCACCACATCTCGTCCGACATGCCCGTGCGGCCGGCGTCCTCATCCCTGGCGCAGTCGATGGTGACGCCTTTGCGCAGCGTCTGGCCCTGCGACAGCGTGGAGGTCAGGTAGGACGCATGCGTCTGGGTGAACCCCGAGCGGCGCACAGTGTGCGCCCCCGAGCTTTGCCACGTGAGCTCCTGCTCGCTTGGCCTGAACATGAGCAAGCTCCTCGCCCCTCGGCGTCGTCGGCAGCGCCGTCGGCGCCCTGCTGCAGCACTTCGGCGACCTCGTTGTAGATCGGGGACTCCTGGAAGCCGTGCACCTGCAGCCAGATTCCCTGCGGTAGGTAGCGGGGGCGGAAGAGCTGGCCCGGCGCGCACTCCTCGTAGTCCCGCTCGTCGTCTGCGTGAAATTCGAACGACACGATGGTGGCCCGTTGCTCCTGCACGAGCCCCAAATTCTTCTTCAGCTCCTCCTGCACGGCCGTGAACCGGACCTCCATGCCGACGTGTGCCGGTAAGGCGCCGTGGATGTTCCCCGTCTTGTGCATGTTCGGGACGGTCAGGATGCGCCGGCCTGCGTCTGGGTCGCCTTGAGTCGTGCCGCACTCGTCTACGGCCTGCAGGAAGACGAGGGGGACGCCGAGGCGCCGCGCGTCGCGACGAGCGCGCGTGTTGATCCACCTCGCCAGCGTCTCCCAGTAGATGCCCATGCCGTAGCCGAGCCGGAAATTTTCATGCTGGTGCCGTGGGTCCAGGACGCCGTGGTTGTCAGAGGCCAACGTCTTTTCCCAGGCAGACCAGACCTCTGGTGGGAAACGCTTGCCCTCGCTCATGCAACCCAGAAGCGCGATCAGAGGGTCCCCCGGCTCGAAGCGCTTTGTGCCCTTCAGCTCGAAGACGCAGGGGATCTGAGAGAAGACCCTGATGGCGTGCTGGATCTCCACCGTCGGCGGTTCCGCGTACTTGCACGACCCGTCGTCCAGGAGCTCGTTCACGTCCGAGCCCGATGCTGCCGGTGGGCTTCAGCTGCAGGAAATCCCCGAGGTGCAACACGATGGGGACGCGGCCGAAGGTGTCGCCGCCGCTTCGGCCGAGGATGGGCTACCACCCCGGGCCCGGACGCAAGGGTTTCCCCCTGCGCCCGGCCACCGTCGTCCTCCTCAATTCCTGTTCCTCGTCCTCCTCCTCCTCCTCCTCCTGCGCCTCCGCTCCAGCTCGCATGCTGCGAGCTGGCTCAGCGCGGGGACTTCCGCGGGGACAGACCGGCGGGCTCCCGCCTGTGACTTCCTGGCGTGTCACTCACAGACGAGGCTCCCGCTTGATACATCCTCCTCATTCAAGCCCTCCGGAGGCCAAAAGTGACGACAGTTACACGTTTCGGATGACCCGCCACGGATTAAAAACATGAGGCGCGGGCCCCATAGGGAGAGGTTTCCCGCCTGAGACTTCGTCGCAATTCACTCACAGACGAGGCTCCCGCTTGATACTTCTTCCAGATTCTCGCCACAGGGGCCCAAAAATGACGACAGTTACACGTTTCGGATGACCCGCCTCGGATTAAAAACGTGAGGTGCGGGCCCCATAGGGAGAGGCTTCCCGCCTGAAACGCCGTCGCAATTTACTCACAGACGAGGCTCCCGCTTGATACTTCCTCCAGATTCTCGCCACACGGGCCCAAAAGTGACGACAGGTACACGTTTCGAACGACCCGCCTCGGATTAAAACGTGCGGTGCTGGCCCCATAGGGAGGGGTTCCCGCCTGGGTTTTCCTCACAATTCGTTCACAGACGAGGCTCCCGCTTGATACTACCTCCATGTTCAAGCCAGGGAGTGAGTGATGACGAAATGATGAGTGAGTGAATGATGATGATGTGTCCGTGATGAATGAGTGATGATGATGCGGATGATGATCATGATGGCCACTGAGTGGGTGGTCGAGAGATTATGATGGAGATGGTGACGATGATGTTGAGAGTGGCGGCGGTCCTACCGTCGGAGGACCAGTGCCTCCGAAGCCTACTGAGGATGAGTGAGTAATTGAATGAGTGAGTGGGTGATCGAGTGGTGATGATGGTGACGTTGATGATGATGAGGATTATGATGATGAGTAGTGATGAAGGATTATGATGATGAGTAGTGATGACGGCGATGGCGGTTGATGGTGATGATGATGGTAATGATGATGAGCGTGTGCGTGTGATGACGATGATGGTGGTTGATGGTGATGATGATGGTGATGATGGTGAGTGTGTGTGAGAGAGAGGAAATGGGGGGTGTGAGATCCTGCGCGGCGTGTGCACAGAAAACAAGAACCCCACTTTGGATGTGGGGAATTAGTCGTCGATTCCCAGAATGTTTGGGAAAACATGGGAAGTGGCGGGGGGAGACAAAAGCCCAGAAAACATGGGAAAATGTGGGGAATCTTGTTATTTGTGTGTATTTATGTGTGTGTGTGTGTGCCCCAGGGCCCCTTCAAAGTTGCCGACACTGCGGCGCGCATCCAGGCTCCCGGCTCCCACGTCCGGCCTGCCGACGCGTGCGCGCGCCGCCTTGAGCCATGAGTGCCACCGCGAGGGCCGCGCCGCCCGCCGCGGGCGGTGGCCACGCCGAGGCAGTGGCCACTCTCAAGACCGGAGTTGGGTAGACCTCGGCAGCCTCCTCCTCCTCCTCCTCCTCCTCCTCCTCCTTCTCCTCCCCCTGGCTTGCCTTCTTGAGAGTTCCCACGCCCTCTCGGGCGGCCGCCCCCCTCGCGCAGCCCGCCCCCATCGCGCTCCCCGCACCCCCCACGTCAATTAGTGAATTGGCCGTTTTCGGTTCGCGAGAGGGCGTCGCGGCCGTCATTTCTGCGGGTCCGGGTCCGCCGGTCTCGGTCCCAGGCCGTTTTCACCAAGGGGAGGTTTGCTGAAGGGAGGCTTGTCCACCGCCGACAATATGTGCACGCTCATCCACGGCATGTTGCCGCAGCTGATGGTGACGAAGTGCACGACAGCATGGACCTTGCATGGCAGGACTTCGTCGTTCCGGAGCCTGGCACTCCTTCTCCCAGACCGTCGGTAGGGCTTCTGACGTCGGGACAGCGTCTCACCTGGCAAGCCGAGTGTAGCCCATTGTTGCCCTCAGATGTTGTGTCGGTCCTTCGGTATAAACGTGGTCGTCCACGCCGCAGGGGCTCTGCGGATGACGTCCCGGCTGGTTCGTGCAGCGCGGTCAGCAACAACCCAGAGGTTCACGACCAGCACGTCGATCGAGCCGCCACCGTCTCTGGCTGCGCCTTGCCTGCTTGCCGAGTGTGGCCCACTGCGAGCTGAAGGTGACCCTCCAGCCCGTCGGTGGAGGTCTTGTCTGTGCTGATGGCGCCTCGTCTGGCCTGTCGCGTGCGGCCGTCGGGATGGCCGTCGGATCCACTGACTGCGGCTTGTCTGGTCCCCACAAGATGGTTTTCGCGGAGCCTGAGTTGATCCACATGTCTGGCGAGCGGTTCCATCCTCCTGGGCAGAGCCTGAGCTGATCCACATGTCTGGTGGCAGTGATCGGCAGAAGGTTGCCTTCGGACGTATTTCTGGGCATCGGCGTGTTCGCTCTTCCCAGCGACGGCCGTGGCCCGCACCCAGCGCGTGGCGTCGGAGGTCGGTCCGATCACCACCTCAATTTCGGCGTCCTCTTTCTGGCCTGCACGCGCGCGTCCGCGCGGCACCACCTGCTGCTCCTTGTTGGGTCGTGCACCACGCTGCTAGTGCAGCGCCCTCTGACGATGCTGATTCACACGGGTCTGATGTGCGATCTGCGGATGCTGTTCAGCCTGCGATTGACGAGCGTGTTCAGGTGCAGCTGGCGGCGAAAGAGAAGCATGATGCTGCGAACGACACCATCATGACGCCAACGGTGACACCCACGGCTTCGAAAAGAGCGAGGGCAAGGACACGGACCCGGATCAAGGCGTCAAGGAAATCAATGCAGCGCCGAGGGCTGACCATACGGCTCCGATATCTGACGCTGGACTTCTGCTCGTGCCCCTGGCGCAGGCGACCTGCCGTGCCAAGACAGCTCTGAATACTGTCAGAGTTGCTGTGCGACCTCTTGTCTAGGCTCCGACGGCGGCGTCGGCGCGCACTTCCCGAGTCAGTCCCGTGGAGCGCTGGTTGTTCGCGTTGCACTGTCTGGCTGGCATTGGTGAGAACTTCCCCCACGAGGCCTGCGTGATTCTGAAGGCTAGGAGTCGTTCAGAAAAGCGCTCGCATCAAGCGGCAACCGCATCGCCTCGTTCCGGGAAGGCCTACCTGGCCCATGCCGTCGCGATCGAGCAGGACCTCCATGTCCCCGCCGAGGTAATTGTTCGACGTCAAGGCCTCGTCCGCGTCCCTTCTCGGCACCGCTGCGTTGCCGGCGGTGGCAGATGCGGCCTGGAACCCCAGCGTTCCAGAGCTGCAGGGTGAAGCTCCTGCTCCGTCGGCGCAGCCTTTGCGCTCCGTCGGCGCCTTTGGGGGCCTCCTGGGGCCTTTGGGGGCGGAAGGCTCGGACTTTCGGCTTGTGTTCCCTCTCTTGGGCCCCTTTCGGGGTCGTCTTGGGGGCCCTCTTGGGCCATTGTGGGCCTCTTGCCTTCGTGGGGCGCTCCTGAGCTGCCTTCGTCGGCGCTCCGCTGGCGCAGCCCTGCGCCCTCGCCGTCGCTGGCGGCGTCGCGCCGCCGCCGCCGAGGCCGCGCATACGGCGGCGGGCACCGAGGCGCGCTCGGGCACCGCGCGCGGCGGGCACCTCGCAGCACGGGCCGCCGCCCGTGGGATCGCTGCGTGCGGGCGCGCCTCGTGCGCCGAGGAGCTCGCCGTCGCCCGCTGGAGCCTCGCGTGCGCCGCGGGCGGAGGGTTCAAGGAGGAGGAGGGGCAGGAGGGGAGGAGGAGGGGGAGGAGGAGGAGGGGGAGGGGGGAGGAGGAGGAGGGGGAGGACGGGGAGGAGGAGGAGGAGGAGGAGGGAGGAGGAGGAGGAGGAGGAGGAGGAGGAGGAGGGGGAGGAGGGGGAGGATGGGGGAGGAGGGGGAGGGGGAGGGGAGGGGGAGGAGGAGGGGGAGGAGGAGGGAGAGGAGGAGGAGGGGGAGGAGGAGGAGGGGGAGGGGGAGGAGGAGGCGGAGGGGGAGGGGGAGGAGGAGGAGGAGGAGGAGGAGGAGGCGTCCAGACGACGCGTGGGGGAGCGTCCGCGCGCCACCTGGCTCCGCCGCGTGGCCGGGCAAAGGCTCGTTGTTGCGTCCTCGTCGTCGCCGTCGTCGTCGTCGTCGCCGTCGTCATCGTCGTTGTTGTCGTCGTCGTCGTCGTCGTCGTCGTCGTCGTCGTCGTCGTCGTCGTCGTCGTTGTCGTCGTCATCTGTCGCGCCGCGACCCTCCCACAGGCACTCTGCCACTCGCCTCGCGACCCACCCACGTTTTGAAGAGAGGCGCGCCCTCACTGTTCTGGAAATGCGGCATCTGCGGTGGGCTGTTGCGTACTGAATCTCCAGAGGGAGCTCTGCTGCACCCGCCCGCGCGATCCGCCCGTGACCCCCCGTGCCCACCGAGACCCGCGCTGTTGGCCGTGTCCCGAGGGTCTGGGTGGGAGCGCACCTTTGGAGAATTCTGGGGGCCGACTCTGAGGGTGGGGAAGGTGGGTGGGGCTGTACCCAGACCCCCTTGCGCTATGAAAAAAATCACGACGAAGGTTTTTTCACGATTTTCTCCCTCCAGGGCCCTTTACCGGGCCTCAGGACCGTCAAACAACGATTCAGGACGAAAAACAGGTCCATGGGAATGGGTCGAGACCTCCAGGGGTCGACGTAATAAAAAAACATGACGTCAGGGGTCCGGGTACGTCTACCTGGACCTCCGACGTCTGGCACTTTTCGCAACATGGGCCCCCAAAAGGTCTGGGCCACTTCGCCGGGACCAGCTTCCCGTCCCGGGCAAGATTTGAGAGTCCTAGGCCGGCCCGGCGAGGGACCCCAAGGATGGGACATGGTTCAAAACCCTTCGTGATCGCTTCACCATGCGAAGAGGTGGGGGCAGGAGGGAGGAAGGGCCAGGGAGGATCGGGGACCAGGAGGTGACAGGATCTGCAGCGGGGGGGAGCACGAGAGTGGGGGGAGGGGCGAGGGACCTGGCCGAGGCGACGGGAGGCCCCCCAGAGACCTGGGGAGGCCCGGGAGCGCTCGAGAGAGGCCGCGCGCCCTCGATCCTGCGCCGACCCGCAGGCCGCGCGCTCGCTCCGTCCCTGGAGGCGCCTCGAGGCCTCGCCTCGAGCCCCCCCCCCCCCGCCGCGGCGCGTCCGCCCCCGCCCGGCGCGCGCCGGCGCGCGGCAGCGCGCCATGGAGCCGGAGAAGAAGGTGCCGCGGCATGCGGCCCTGGACTTGCCGCCCGCCGCGCTGGAGGCCGGGGGGCGGTCGGGCCAGCCCGCCCCGCGCGGCCGCCGCGCGCTCTGGGCGAGCCTCGGAGGCGAAGGGACGCCATGGACAAAAACGTCTGGCGCTCCGCGAGGAGTTCTCGGGTCCGCGCTGGCCCCCCCCCCCTGGCGGCGCCTCCGGCGCCGCCTCTGGCGCGCTCCGCGCGCCCGGGGGTGGGAGGGTCTAGCGCAGATCTAAGAACTCCGCGCGGAGCGCCAGCAGTTTCTGCTTATGGCGTTTTTTCTTCTTCAAGAGCAACCCCACTTGGAGCGGGGGGGGTTGCTGGGGGGATGACGGGGTCGTCAGCGGATGCCGGGGTGGGTCATAGCTGGCCTAACGTAGCTGCTATGAGTGGCTCACGAATGGCCGTATTGGCCTTGGGGGGTGGATACTCTCCTAGGTGGGCGGAAAACATTTTGCCCGGGTCGGGAACTCCCCCAAGCCACATGGGATAGGCATAGCCCACTTGTATGTTAGGTCAGGCGAGGTCTAACCCACCTAGAGTGGCATCCACTGGTACCCCCCCTCTTCGCTTCGCAACCCCGCGCCGATCCCAGCAGACAGATGCCCTCGTCCTGGAACAATCGCGACGTCTTCGGCCTCCAAGGACCCTCGCTGGGCCCCGGGAGCGTCAAAGAGCAGCGGTCGGGCTGCGCAACGGGCCCCGGGGAAGGGGCCGGGGCTGCCAGAGGCCCTGCGCGGACGACATCAAGACGTCCTGTGCCTGGGGCCCAGGAGGAGGAGGAGGAGGAGGAGGAGGAGGAGGAGGAGGAGGAGGAGGAGGAGGAGGAGGAGGAGGAGGAGGAGGAGGAGGAGGAGGAGGAGGAGGAGGAGGAGGAGGGAGGAGGGAGGAGGGAGGAGGGAGGAGGAGGAGGAGGAGGAGGAGGAGGAGGAGGAGGAGGAGGAGGAGGACGTCCAGCGGGCCGGGCAGATCGAGGCAGCAGGCTCGTGGCTTCTGTGCGGGCCCCCGGCGGCCAGCCTCGGGCTCCCGAGCCGCCACAGAGCAAGGACGAAGTCGGGGCAGGACGCGGGCCTCGGGCGACCGTGCGCCGTCAAACGCCGGAGCGCTGGATGTCTGGGGACGGTGGCGGGAGGGGACCACAGCGAACGGCGGCGGCGGCGGCGACCGTGCGCCGTCAAACGCCGGGAGGCTGGATGTCTGGGGACGGCGGCGGGAGGGGGAACAGCGAACGGCGGCGGCAGCGAACGGCGGCGGCGGCGGCAGCGGCTGCTGCGGCCGAACCGCGGCGGCGGCGTGCAGGCCGGGGAGATCGGGAAGGCCGTGCACCCCCGCGGCGGGCGCAGGGACGCGCAGTACGGCACAGCTGGCTTCCGCATGGACGCTGGCGAGCTGGACCATGTCATGTATCGGATGGGCATCTTGGCCGCTCTCCGGTCCAGGGCGCTCCGCGGCCAGGCCGTGGGCGTGATGATCACCGCGTCGCACAACCCCGAGCGGGACAATGGCGTGAAGCTCGTGGAGCCCCTCGGCGAGATGCTCACAATGGATTGGGAGGTTCACGCCACAGCCCTCGCGAACGCGTCCGATGATGCCCTCGCCGGCGTCATCGCCGACCTCGCGAAGAAGTTGGGCATCAACTTGGATGACCCAGCCAAGGTGGTCGTAGGCCGCGACACGCGTGCCAGCAGCGTGGCACTGTTCACAGCGGTGTGCGATGGCGTCGGCGCCATGCGGCCCTCTGGCGTGCGATCCCTGGGCCTCGCGACGACGCCGCAACTGCACTACGTCGTGCGCTGCGAGAACACCGCCTCGGGCTACGGCGCTCCAACGCTGGTCGGCTATGCGGACAAGTACGCCACGGCTTACGAGAGGCTTGCTTCAGGGAGCGCGGCCACGAGTAGATACTCTGGCGAGGTCGTGGTCGATTGCGCCAACGGCGTGGGCGCCGTGGCACTCCGCGGCATGCTCCAGCGCCTCTCCGCGGCAGGCCTCCGCGCGTCGGTGTGCAACGACGGCGGGGGGGCCCTCAACGAGGGATGCGGGGCTGACTTCGTGAAGATAAAGCAGGCGGCGCCCAGCGGCGTGAGCGTGAGCCCGGGCAAGCGCTTTGTCTCCCTGGACGGCGACGCGGACAGGATCGTGTATTTCTTCTTCGCCGACTCCGGCGCCTTCCAGCTGCTGGACGGGGACCGCATCGCGCTGCTGCTGGCCCACTTCCTGGCGAAGCTGCTCCGAGAGGCTGGCATCGAGGGCCTCCGCCTGGGCCTCGTGCAGACGGCCTACGCCAACGGGGCCTCCACTCGCAAGGCGGTGGAGGCGGTGGGGGCGGACAACGTCCTCTGCGCCAAGACGGGCGTGAAGCACTGCCACCACGCCGCTCTGGAGCTGGATGTCGGCATATACAGAGGAACGAATACTGACAGAAACATAAAAACTCGGAGGTCCGCGCGGACTTCTCGGATCGGCGCTGGACCCCCCTTCCTGGCGCGCGGAGCGTGCCAGGGGCGGCGCCGGAGGCGCCGCCGGGGGGGTCCAGCGCCGCCGAGAAATCCGCGCGGACCTCCGAGTTTGTATGTTTATGCTATTCTTCGTGCCCCTGATATACTTCGAGGCGAACGGCCACGGCACCGCGCTCTTCAGCGAGGCCTTCTCGCAGCGCGTCGCGGCGGCAGCGCAGGGCGGCGGCGAGACCGGCGCCGCGGCGGGTCGGCTGCTGGCCATGCGCGATCTCATCAACGAGGCCGTTGGCGACGCGATTTCGATCATGCTGGCGGTGGAGGTCGTCCTGCGCTCGCTGGACTGGTCCTGCTCGGAGTGGCTGGCGATGTACGCGGACCTGCCCAACCGGCAGGTCAAGGTCAAGGTCGCCGACAGATCTCTGTTCGAGACCACTGACGCGGAGCGCGTCTGTGTGAAGCCGGAGGGGCTTCAGGCCGAGATCGACGCACTCGTCAGGCTGCATCCGCAGGGCCGGGCCTTCGTGCGCCCGAGCGGCACCGAAGACGTGGTGAGGGTCTACGCCGAGGCCGCGTCGCTTGAGGCCACGCTGGCGCTGGCACAGGCCGTGGTGGACGTCGTGTACGCCAAGGCGGGCGGCATGGGAGACAAGCCGACGGTGACATAGATGGGACCATGAGCCAAACGGGTCCAGAGGGAAACGGGTCACAAGGTTGACCACCGGGGCCACTCTCGGGCCCCTGGGCCGCCACAAAACGACCCCGGATGAGAAGCCGGTTCAGGGGGGCCCCGGGGTGTCCAGGCCGTGCTTCTCCCAGGACCCCTGTGGCTCATGGTAACAGACGGTGTTACGATTATATGTCGGCCAGCACGCCCGCGCCCAGGCATGCGCGCAAGGTGCTGCCATTGCCAGTGGCACCAGGGCGCCTCCTCCGCCAGCTGGCGGCGGGGGCCCGTTTTCCATTCGCGTCCGGCAGGGCAGTTTTGTGGGGCGGCAGGCTCTCTCGCGCTCGGCTGCCCACAGCACCGACATATTATCCGAGATCGGTCCATGCACGGCAGGGTCACGCAGCGACGGCGCGGCGGCGGCTCCTTGGCGCGGGCGCCCCAGGTGGAAGAGCACGGGCAGCCTGAACCAGGCGAACTTTGGACGGCCCAGGCGGTGTCAGTACTCGACGTCCACGTCGGCATGGCATGACTCAGCCGACTCCTCGATCCCATCTTTATTGCGTGAGTTCGCGATGATGGCGCAGCGGGCTTGTCAAACAGGCCGCGGGAGTTCCACAGGAGAGTACCGCATAGACCGAGGAGGGCAAGGAGGAGGCAGGATTAGGCAGAGGAGACAGGACAAGGGAGAAGAATGAGGAGGCGGGGGAAGGAGAAGGAGGAGGAGGAGGAGGAGGAGGAGGAGGAACCCACACCCGCTACATCCCGCCATCAGCCGTCACGCGTCCCCGAGGACCATGTAGGTGGACCCAAGCACCAGGTCACGGGGCTTCTCCTATCCTATACTTGCCAGGGTTCCCATACCCACGACCATCGATATGTTTGAAATCCAAGAGGACTACGAGAACGATTGGCCCTACGATCGAGTCGAGAGGAGACAGAAGGATACCCCTTTCGGACCAACTTCAGGGGATTTCACATTGAAAATGCTCCTCACTCGATGCACAATATGAGGCGTCGGCTCCCTTGGTAGAGATTGGGGTCAACACGGGTGGAGGAGGCAGTGGTGTCAAAGGTAGCGGTTCACGCAGAGAGGATCGATCCGAGAGAAGGATCAGAAGACATATGCCAGCGCCTCGCCAGTATTACGTTGTTTGTGGCATCTATCGCGTGCTGGACGGGCACAGCACGGTGCGATCGGCGTGGTGAGGCAGACGGGCGAGAAGGAGAGAAGGAGGCGAGAGAAGGTGGTGGTGGCTACGGCATTGAGGCTGTCCCCGTGCCAAGCACATGATCGAACTATCGGAAGAATCACATGGCCCATGAGACGGGGCAGCGCGCGCGTCTCCTATTATAGCGACCGCAGCCCCTCGAAGCGAGGAAGGGCACCCCGCCGCGAGCCCACAGCTAGCCGTGGAGCGCTGGGCCCGCCAGGCAGGGACAATTGGGGACGCGGACCAGCGGAAGCCGGACAAGAGCGAGCGAAGTAAAGGAAGCGCGATCATGTGTTGTCAGGAGTTTGCTACGCTAAGGATCCACTGGACATGTTCGAAGGACCGCGACGGGAAATCGCAAGAAGCTCCGACGGAACGCCTGCGGCAATGCAGCACACACACACACACACACATCGGCAACGTGAAAGAGAGCCAGTGTGACGTGCAAGGTGGCCTCTCCGCTGAAAGGCTTCCGCTGGAAGCAGACCTGGGCACCATCAGCTGAGAGTACCATGAACTACCCACCGGAGAAGCGAAGCGGGCCTTGGAAGACGCACATACATATATATATATACATATCTATATATAGATATATATCACATCCGCCAACTAGCTTGCCTCGCGGACCTCGGCCAAGCAGCTCCGCCCGGAACGCCAGCGCCGCACCCGTCGAGCGCTGCGCGCGCGAGGTCCGCGGCGGCAGCACCACGTGCTCTCCCTCGGCGTCCCGGGCATGCCCGGAGACGGCAGCACGCCGTGGCCGCCCCAGTCCTGCGCGCGACGTCTTGGGCCGCCGGCTCCGCGGGCGAAAGGGCCGCCTCGGCGGCGGCGGCCCCCGCCGCGGGTTCGGGCGGCTCCCCTCTGTGCGGGGGGCAGCTTCGCCCCGCCCTCGGCCCGGACGTCCAGGGGCCCGCAGGTCGCGCCGTGGGGCCCTCGCGGGGCCGATGTGGCGACCTGCACGGCGGCAGCGGCACTGGTGCGCTGCAGCGGCATGGTCGGCGCAGCGCCGGCCCACAAGGGCGTCGCCTGCCCAGCGGCCGTCGGCGGAAAGTGTGGAGCCCCGTTCTGCATGCCGTGCCTGGCTTTTGGCGTCCCCTCACACACGGGGTGAAGCACGGCAGCGGTCGGCGGGAGACAGCCCGGAAAAAAGCGCGCCCGCCGCGGCCAGAAGAACACGAGGCGCCTCGACACGCGGATCTGCCCGCAGGGCGGCCGCGAGTGCCTCGCCGAGGGCTGTGGGCTTGCAGTCCCTGTGCGACATGTCTCGGAGAACAAACATAGTGTAACCATAAGCTTGTGGAGGTCCTCGCGGAGATCTTGGCGCTGCGCTGCCCCCCCCCCCCTGGCGGCGCCTCCGGCGCCGCCCCTGGGGCGCGCTCTGCGCGCCAGGGAGGGGGGCCCAGCTCGGATCCAAGAAGTCCGCGCGGGCCTCTAACAGTTTCTGTGTATGTTTTTTTTTGCTCCTCAGCGAAGCTCCGCAGGAAAGGCTGTCCTGCTCGAGCTTGTGCGCGTGCCGCCTGCGCCCTGCGCTCTGCGGCCGTGCGCTTTGGGTGCCCTGCCGGTAGCGCCACGGACGGGCAGCGGCCAGGGGGGCGCCTGGCGCTAGCTCGCAGCACCCAGCGGGTTGCCGCCTGAGTCGGCGCTGGAGAGGAGGGAGCAGGGAGGAGTCAAGTCTAGGCTTCCCAGATGGGGTCCGAGCAGGTGGTGTCGCAGGATATCGCCGCATCGCCGATGCATCGCCGATGCGGCTCAGTGTGGAGCCCGATTTTCTCCTCGCCGACGGCGCCGATGCATCGCCGACGTCGCCGATGCATGGGCAATGCGGCGCGATCCTCCGACCCCATCTACTCGGACCCCATCTGTGAGGCGTCTTTCAAGAGAGGAGAGGAGAGGAGAGGAGAGGAGAGGAGGGGAGGAACAGCACTTGTGTGATATATGATCCAGGGTCGAGGGCCCACGGGCCCCCCCCCCCAGATGGTATGGTCCCAGGATTCCTCGGGCCCCCCCCCCTCAGATGGTATGGTCCCAGAGACGACGACGACGACGACGACGACGACGACGACGACGACGACGACGACGACGACGACGACGGCGACGGCGACGGCGACGGCGACGGCGACGGCGACGGCGACGACGACGGCGACGACGGCGACGACGACGACGACGACGACCACGACGACGACGACGGCTGCGGCGGCGACGACGCCGGCGGCGGCGGCGACGACGACGATGACGACGATGACGACGGACGACGACGATGACGACGACGACGACGACGACGAGGACGACGACGACGACGACGACGACGACGACGACGACCTCTGAACCACCACAGCACCACACCACATCCACAGGGGGGGGAGGGGGGCACCGCAGCGCAGCACCACGCCACGCCCACCTCTGAACCACCACAGCACCACACCACATCCACAGGGGGGGGGGGAACCGCAGCGCAGCACCACGCCACGCCCACAGGGGGGGGCGGGGGGGACCATCGCGCGCGGGGGGGGGGGGGGGGCCCAATGGCATCAGGGGGGGGGGGGGCCCAAACCCTGGACCATATATGCAACGCGGAGGCCCAGCACATCGAGGATCGGGAAGCGTCTCTGGCTTCTCGTCCAGCTGGCCGTTTTTTTTCCGGCGTTCGAGCCGGGAAGCCTTCACTCTGGCAGCGGCCCACCGCCACGAGATGGCACTCCGACAGGTCGGAGGAGACGCGGGAGCCCCTTCAGCGATCGGTAGGCGTCTCGCCTCGAGGGCCGCCGCGCCCGAGGCGGCCCCTGCGCGCTCGCAGCGATGCTGCCCGCCGCCGTGCCCCGTGCTGCCATCGGCTGGTGGCCCCTGCTGCGCGGCACCGCGCCCAGCGGCCCTGCCTGGGGCCACCCCTCGCGGAGGCCGCGCGCGCCGCGGGGGCCGAAGAGAAAAAAAAAACGCATGCACATAAGAACTGCTGGGGGTCCGCGCGGAATGCTTGGATCCGCGCTGGGGCACCCCTTGGCGGCGCCTGTAGCGCCGCCCCCCTGTGCGACATGTCTCGGAGACAAAACTAGTGTAACGATAAGCTTGTGGAGGTCCTCGCGGAGTTCTTGGCTCTGCGCTGCCCCCACCCACCCCACCTGCGGCGCCTCTGGCGCCGCCCCCTGGCGCGCTCCGCGCGCCAGGGAGGGGGGCTCCAGCTCAGATCCAAGAAATCGGCGCGCGGACCGTCGAACGCTTATGTTTCTTTTGCCTCATGGGAGGAAACCCTGGGGAGGCTTGTCCCAGGGGGGCACTGTGCTGCCGCCCGAGCGCCAGCCACAACCACCTGCTGGGACGCTTCTCGTATGCATCTTGGAGGGGTTACCCAGGGGGGGGGTCTGGGGATTCTTTTGGATCGGATATTTGTTGCCCCTTGAACATCCACTTGTTTGCTATGTATTTCTTCTTTGGTCCCGATGTTTGTTACATTGGCCGGGGATTTTTTAGTGGGAACAAGGTTTTGTGCATTGAACATCGTATGCTGTTTTTGGCTCCTCTGTGAGGGGGGGCCCGCGGCGGGCGCCCAGGCGCTGGGCGCTGGGGGCCCTGGGCCCGAGAGGCGCGGGCACTGGGCGCGCGGGCGCCCTGCGCCTGAAGTATGCCCGGCGGCGTGCACCCGGGGGGGGGGGGGCGTCGGGGGGACGACGGGGACCGAGGGAGCTTGTTTTTTTTTTGTATAATATGTGTATACCTATCTACACACGTACATACTTACATACACACATGCATGCATGCTTGCGTGCATGCATGCATGCATGCACGCAAACATACATACATGCCTGCATACATGCATACATCCATGCATGCATGCACACATGCATACATTCACATAGCTACATACATACATACATCCAAACATACATACATATATGCATACATACATACATACATACACACATACATGCATACATACATACATACATACATACATACATGCATGCATGCATGCATACATACACACATGCATACAAGCATGCGTGCATCCATACATACACACACACGTACATACACACATACATGCATACATGCATGCATGCATGCATACACACATATACACATAATTGTATGCATGTGTGTATGTAGTTATGTGTGTATGTGTGTATGTGCATATGTATGTATTGCAATGGCGTGCCATAGATTCTTTGTTGCGTGGTGGAGAGCGGGAGAGGGCCGCTGTCACTTTTGCTCAAGCCTTTCTTCCAGCGAGCTGGGGGCACCTGTCCAGGCAGAAACGCGGATGGTTGGCAGACCCTTCGTGTGGCTCCTGGGCGCAGCTACCAACCTGCTGGCGGCCTGGATATCGCGAGCGCCGCCGTGTCCTGCGGCGCCTACTTGTCCTTCTTCGCCGGCGTGCCCGTCGGTGTCGTGCCCCAACCTCTCGTGCGGGAGGGTCCATTGCCGAGCGACCGAGGGGCAGCTGACTTGCCCGGCGGCGCCTCCTGCGCCGCCTTCGCCGCCGGCGGCGCCCCAGGCACCACCGGCGCCCGAGCCGACGCCGGTGCCGGCAGAGCCGTCTCCGAGCTCGGACTGGAGCTGGGCGGCGCTGCTGCTGGACCACGTCGTGCTGGCCTCGCTCCAGTGCTGGCGGGCCGCGCTCGGGCTCGTGAAGGGCCTCGTGTGCCGTCGCCATGGCCGCCACGGTGCCGCCGCCGGGCGGCGTCCTGCGCTGAGCCTGGGTGCTGTATCGAGGAGAGCGGCTCTGGCATCAACGGAGAGTCTGGGGCAGATTGGCGAGTCCAGCAGCGGGGAGCAGTGATCCGATGGACCTGCTGCTCTCGAGCGCCGACCACGACGTGTACGAGGAGCGGTACGGTCAGGGGAACCCAGACATAGTCGCCGTGGTCTTCAGCCCGACGCGCCAGGCGCTGCAGGGTGTGGACCCGAATCTGCTGCACAGGTTCAGGCGTGAGCCGAACGCGAGGGAGACGGTGGCTATCCAGGACGCTCTCGTGCAGGTAGCCGACCAGCTGTACTTGGACCGCGAGCGCGCTGCTGGCAGGCCGCGCACGCTTCCCGCTGGTGGCTCATACCTGGAGTTCGACTTCACCGCAGCCGCCCCTGGACCAGGCGTTCCTGGCGCAGGCCCCGCCGCTCACGCGCCCGCGGCTGGAGCCGCCGCCGGAGCAGCGCCTGCCGCGCCTCTGGTGAGCGTGGCCGGGGCCGGCGCCGTCGGCGCCCCTGCTGCAGGTCCCCTGGCGGCCGCCGCCGTGCTGGCCGCAGGCGCCCCAGCGGGCGCCGCCGGCGCAGCGCCGCCGGCCGCGGCAGGGGTGGTTGGGCCGCCCGCTGTGCTGGCCCCAGTGTGGGTGCTCATCCAGAGCACGGGTGGTGGCAGTCGTGAGTTGAATGTTCCCGACTTGGTCGGGGCGGAGCTGGCCATTCGTCAGGCACAGCTGCACGAGTACATCTACTCCATGGAGTTCGAGGCGCAGCAGTCGAAGGGCTCCAAGGACGGCAACGAGGGCGACGGCAAGAAGAGGGGCCGAGGTCGGGGAGGAGGGCTCCACCGATTCGGCATCGTGGACGAGGCGGCGGTGTTCACAGGGGCGGCCAAGGAGGATGGCCGTTCCATGATATGCCCGCTGCTACTGGAGCATGTCTCCAAACAGGTGGAGCGCGACGCAGGGATCCTGAAGCAGATCAGGAAAGCCCGTGAAGAGCGTCGCGCTCTGTCATCATGAGCGACGCGGACGGCTCTCGGGTACCCCTCGCCCGAGAGTCAGCCAGGCCGAGAGAGGGCGCGCCCGTGGGCCTCGCGGGTGCAGCAGATCTACCTGTACATGAGGCTTCCCACTCCAGCGCCGACCTTCGCCAACGTGACCTCTTTCCTTTACCTTACTTTGGCGCTGGAGCTTCTTCTCCTACTACGTCTTCCCCGCCTTCGAGGTCAGTGCGCAGGCGCCTTGAGAAGCGGTCGCACGTTCACGGCATGGTCGAGGAGATGACCGTCGCGCTGAACGAACTGTGGGGCTGCCCGCCTGCGGCGCGCCGTCAAGCGCCCGCAGGCACGCCGGTGCCAGCCGCTGGCCACGCCCTCGTCCTCTCGGAGCTCCGCCAGGCCGCTGTGAGGTTTGGCCCGTGCCCAGAGGGCTTGGACGGTCGAGGAGCCCTCGAGGAGCTCCGGATATCGCAATCATACGAGGGTGACGCCACGTTGGTTGCCCCGGTGAGCTTCGACCTCGTCGACTCCATCTCATTGCCTCCTGCTGGCAGCCAACCCGCCGCCCTGGAGACAATCGACGAGATGGCAGGCCAGAACATCGCTCACCGGCTGAAGGAGTTACTCCTGCCCCGACAGCTGGGGACGGAGCGCATCAAGGAGGCAGGTCCGAGACGACTCTACACGGACCCTGCCCTTCGCAACCCGCGCCTCTACGCGATGGTGGTGCGGCGGCTTATGAACGCTGGGCTGGTGGACTTCAGCAGCTCGGCGGAGTGTTACGTTGGCATGTTCTTCGCGCGCAAGAAGAACGGGTCGCTGCGGATGATCCTCGACGGGAGGCACGCATCGCTCAGGTTTGCGCCCGCGGACCCCGTGGAGTTGGCGACGGGCTCGGCTTTCGCTCAGATCTCGGTCGACGGCGACGAGCCCATCAGCATCGGGGGCGTCGACATCTGCGACGCGTTTTACCAAATCGAGCTTCCGCAGTGGCTGCGCCGCTACTTTGGGCTGCCCAAGTTGAGGGCTGGCGACCTCGGGCTAACGCACTTGTCCGACGGTACGCCCGCGCGACCATCGGCCTGGGCGGTACCGCGCTTCCGGTGCCCGCCGATGGGCTGGAGCATCAGCCTATGGATATGTCAGAGCTTGAACGAGGCGGTGACCGCTCGTGCTCTTCCTGGCCATTTTGGCCGTCGACTTTTGGACCGTCGGCCCGCGCCTGACCTGCAGCAAGGGATGGCGCATGCGGTCTACGTCGACAACTTCATCGCCCTGCCCCACAGGCTGCGCGAGGTGCGTGATGCAGCTACTGCAGCGCAGCGGGAGCTGACGGCTTCAGAACTTCCCTCGCACCCCGTGGAAGCATCAGTCGGTGGCGACACGCTGGGCTGGCACTTCGACGAGGACAAGCCCGTGATCGGTCTCAGCGTTCGGCTGCGCTGGCGGCTTCGCCTTGGCATTGGCGAGCTGCTGGAACGTGGCTGGTGCAGCGGTCACACCATGATGAAGGTGATATCGCACTTCACGTCGAGGGCGCTAATTCGCCGAGAGCTGCTGAGCTGCCTAGGGGCCGTGCACGGCTTCATGGGCGACGGCGGCCGCGAGAGGCGGCGGCTGACTCCGGCAGCGAGGCGGGAGCTGACCTGGTGCCGCGCGCTGCTGCCCCTGTGCTTCCGAGACGCCGGGCGGCCTCTGTCGCCTGTCGTGTCTTGCGTGGGCGCCTCGTGGTGGGGCGCAGGAGTGACGGAGAAGACCATCACCTCGGATCAAGCTCGTCGTCTGTCTATCTTCAACGAGCGATGGGGGTTCAGTCGTGATGGTGAGCAACAGGTCGCCCCTCGGGACAAGGCCCTAGCCCTGGGGCGCAAGCAAGCTGAGCGTATCACCTCGTCATGCATCAAGCAAGCCTCGTCGGAACCCAGTCGCGATCCAGCAGTCATAGCAGCAGTTATGGAGCAGCAGGTCCCGTTCCGAGTCGAGCCGAAGCCGAATCAGGAGGAGGGAGTCACATTCGAGGAGGTGCCAGAGGAGGTCTGGGCGGGAGGATGGCATCGCGTTCTATCTACACCATGGACCAGGAGGGAGGCTCAGGTGGTACTGGAGGGGAGAGCGTTAGTCTTGTGCCTGAAACATCGATTGCGAGCCGCTCGAAACTTCAACACCACGCACATCATCTTGAATGACTCCATGGCCCCAGTGTTGGCCCTTCTCAAGGGCAGATCATCGTCGCCTCCGCTTCTGAGAATCTGTCGTCAAGCCTGTGCTCTTCTGTTGGCTTCGGGGTCCTCAGCTATCTGGCGTTGGGTCCCATCAGAACATAACAGCGCAGATCCAGCTTCTCGTGACCAGACTGGTGACATCCCCGAAGCCGCGCGGGCCAAGACGTCGAGGCTTGACGCGTCCTGCCCGCCCGCCCAGGCAGTGGGCCTCGGGGAGGATGGCGGCGCCACTGTCGATGTCGGCCCTCGGCTTCATGGCGGCCCCTGCTGTGCCGGCGACGCGGGCTCGCAGGAGGCCGGCAGCGGCCCTGGGTGCCGCGGGTACTCACCAGTTGCAGCGCAGGCCGCGTGCGGCGCCGGGGGCTTCAGCGCGCCCGGCCGAGAGCGACCGCCGGGCAGTCCGTCGGCAGGAGAGGGCGAGCCGCTTCCCTTCCCTCCCGGCTTCGGCCCCCCGCCGGGGCTTGACCTTCCTGGAGGAGCAGTCGGTGGGGGACGCGACCAGGGCAGACTACCAGCGTCGACCGGCCGCCTTCAGCCTGTGGGCCTGCCAGCGGGGGCATTCGCTGGTGACGCCGGCAGAGGTGGACAAGGCGCTGGCGCTGTTCTTCCACGAGGAGTTCCTGGACGGGGGCGAGAGCAGCGACGCGTGGAAGCTGATGGCGGCCCTCGCCTTCGCGCGCTCGGACCTCGGGCCGCGCCAGGGGCGCCTGCCGCGGGCGGCGCGGGCAGCCAAGGGCTGGTCTCGCCTGGCGCCGCCTCGATCGCGGCTGCCGCTCCCGTGGCCTGTGGTGTGCCTCATCGCGGAGACCCTGTGCCGCAGGGGCCTGGTGGTGTACGCGTGGCTCACCGCGCTCACGTTCGGCCTCTACCTGAGGCCGCGCGAGGCGCTCGATCTCGTGCAGTCGCAGCTCATCCCGCCAGGGTTTACCACGGCCACGGCGATGCACCACTGGCGCGTGGTCCTCCACCTGTTCGAGAGACGGACCCCGTCCAAGACAGGCGTGTTCGACGAGAGCCTGCTGGTGGACTCAAGCTGCTTCCCGTGGATGCCAAGCCTCGTGCAGGAGCTTCGCCGCCGCACGCCCGCTGGCCACCGCCTGTTTCCCGTGACCTACGCGCAGTGGAACTACCACTTCAAGGCCGTCGTTGCCGAGCTCGGCCTGCAGGTCTTGGGCAACTTGACGCTGCACCAGCTGCGGCACGGCGGCGCGACCCACGAGCTGTACGCGGCGGCGCGGCCTCTGCGCGACATCCAGAAGCGCGGCAGGTGGGCGACCGACGCCGCTCTCCGGCGCTACGCCAAGGGCGGTCGGGTGCAGGAGCAGCTTCACCGGCTGCCGCGCGCCCTGCTGCTCCGTGCCGAGCAGGCGTTCCGCGGGATTGGCGCCACCGTGTCGGCGAGCTGGCATCGTGGGTGAGGCGCTCCAAGGCGGGCGTCTTCTTGGAGGTCTTCAGCGGCTCTGGGCGGATGTCGGCGGCGTGGCGCTTGCGGTTCCGTTCGCAGCATGCCGCCTTCGAACTGGACATCCGCCACGACGCCGTCGGTGATCTCCTCCTCAGGCGGATCAGGCAGCAGGTTCGAGGCTGGGCGCGGAGTCGGCTCATCGTCGCGATCTGGATTGCGACGATTCCATGAGCCGCGCCCGCAACCGCCCCAACGGGCCACCGCCCTTGCGGACGAGACTTTCCCGCTAGGGCTGCCAGGCCTGTCGCCAGGAGATCAGCTCAAGGTCGAGAGAGGAAACGCGCTTGCCACTTTCAGCTTCTCTCTCTTTTTGCTCGCCCGCAGTTTGAACATACCAGTTGTGATTGAGAATCCTAGCACGTCTTGGTTGTGGCAGCTTCCAGGTGCGCTCAGTCTCATTCGAATTCGTAACACTCGCAAGGTGGACTTTGATTTCTGCGCGTTCTCGACCCCTTGGCGCAAACGCACTCGGCTGCTGTATTGCCATCTCAACCTCGACCCGCTCATCCCTTGTAAATGCTCAGGTCGCGGGGTCTGCAGTTTTAGCCGCCGCCCCCATCAGGTCCTCGAAGGCAAAGACGCCTCAGGCTCTTTCTGGACACACATTGCAGAACCGTATCCCAAAGATTTATGCAGGCTGGTAGCTAAGTGTTTTCAACAGGTTTTGCGAAACCACACGTTTCTGAGCCTGGACAGGTTTGTGTAGGCCTAAGGCCAGGATTTCAAAATTCGCAGTTGCTCGAGTTTCTAGGTTTCGGACTGTGATTGTCTCGGGACGCGTTTTCCTTGGTCGAGGTACCTCGCCCAGTCAGTCAATGTTGCACGGAGCTCCGGGACGAGTCATCACACAGAGTTGCGGATGCAAAACAAGTCTGGCCCTCGGGAGTCTCCCCAGCTTGCACAGATTGCCATGGCGTGCCATAGATTCTTTGTTGCGTGGTGGAGAGCGGGAGAGGGCCGCTGTCACTTTTGCTCAAGCCCCCCACCCACGCTGCGCTCCCATCCCATTTTCAGCTCGAGCAGTGTCCAGTGGACTGTGATTGTCTCGGGACGCGTTTTCCTTGGTCGAGGTACCTCGCCCAGTCAGTCAATGTTGCACGGAGCTCCGGGACGAGTCATCACACAGAGTTGCGGATGCAAAACAAGTCTGGCCCTCGGGAGTCTCCCCAGCTTGCACAGATGTATGTATGTGTGTATGAATGTATGTATGTGTGTATGTGTGTATGTGTGCATGTATGCATGCATGTATGCATGTGTGCATGTATGAATACATGCATGTATGCATGTATGTATGTGTGTTTGGTTGTGGTGTATGTATGTATGAATGTATGTACGTACGTACGTATGTATGTATGTATGTATGCATGTATGTATGTATGTATGTATGTATGTGTATGTGTATGTGTGTGTATGTGTATGTGTATGTATGTATGCATGTATGTACGTATATGTGTATGTATGTGTGTATGTGTGTACGTATCGATCGATAGATCGATCTATATATATATATGTATATATACAGATGACTGTGGCAAGTTGACTTGCATGGCGTTCGCGCACCCCCCACCCCACCCCCTGGCGCCCCTCTTCAAACGAATGCTAGCGTGCACGTGCCTTTTGACCTGCGTGGTTTCCGCGCGTGCAAGCGGGGCGTTCGTAAACGGGACGGCAGCTAAGGTTAAGTCGGGCCTCTCCCTCTACAAGAGGCATATTCCAACATAGTTAAACATAGTCTGCGGACCATTTTTTATAATTCCCAACCATCCTGTGATGTTGGGCCTTTGTTTTGAAGAGACGGTCCCCGCGTCCCTCCTCTCCTCCTCCTCCCCCTCCCTCCTCCCCCTCTTCCCTCCTCCCTGCGTTTCATCCATCCAGTACAGCGTTTCGTGGCCCGATAGGGAGCGCCACCGAAGGTCCCAGTGGCACCGCCCGCATGCGTCCGCCACCACCCAGTACAGCCCTTGCTCCCTGCGCTTCGCCCACCCAGTACACCGTTTCGCGGTCCGCCACCACCCAGCACAGCCCTTGCTCCTTGCGTTCCACCCACCCATTACAACGCTTCGTGGCCCCATAGGGAGCTCAACCGAAGGTCCCAGTGGCACCGCCCGCATGCGTCCGCCACCACCCAGCACAGCCCTTGCTCTTTGCGTTTCACCCACCCAGTACAGCGTGTCGTGGCCCCATGAGGATGCTCCGCCGAAGGTCCCAGTGGCACCGCTGGCATGCGTCCGCCACCACCCAGCACAGCCCTTGCTGCCTGCGTCTCACCCACCCAGTACAGCGTTTCGTGGCCCCATAGGGTGCTCCACCGAAGGTCCCAGTGGCACCGCCCCCATGCGTCCGCCACCACCCAGCACAGCCCTTGCTCCTTGCGTTTCACCCACCCAGTACAGCGTTTCGTGGCCCCATCAGGGTGCTCCACCGAAGGTCCCAGTGGCGCCGCCCGCATGCGTCCGCCACCACCCAGCACAGCCCTTGTTCACTGCGTTTCACCCACCCAGTACAGCGCTTCGTGGCCCCATAGGGGGCTCCACCGAAGGTCCCAGTGGCACCGCCCGCATGCGTCCGCCACCACCCAGCACAGCCCTTGCTCCTTGCGTTTCACCCACCCAGTGAAGCGTTTCGTGGCCCTATAGGGGGCTCCACCGAAGGTCCCAGTGGCACCGCTGGCATGCGCCCGCCACCACCCAACACAACTGCGGCATGCCAATTGCATATGGTTGGGTTTTTCGCCGGGTTATTTTCTTTTGTCATTCTGAATATGCTCTTGGTATTTTCATCTTTTGATCCAAAATCCCCCTGTAGGGGAACATGCCCGACCTAAAGCTAAGGAGCCTCTTCAAACGAGAACGGGGCGACAGGCATTTACCTCGCACTAGTGCGCGATAAATCGGGACGACAAAAACGTCGACACATCATCATAACTCTGGGCGGGAGGGTGGGCTACCTCGAACTTGTGCGCAGCAAATCAATTTGTTGAAAACACTGTTGAAATCGCACCCTTAGCTACCAGCCCGTTTACTAAGGCCCCGTTTGCAGGGGCTTGGGAGGGGTCTTGAGATTCCGTCCGGGCGCTACAACTTCCGTCACTCACAGGGCGCGTTCCCATTACTCGCAAAAAGTCGGGCGGGGCTCGGGCGAGGATGGATCCGTTCCAGAGCGTTCTGGAGCGCTCTCAGAACGTTCTGGGACTCTCTGAGAAGGCCGAGGCGCCCGAGACATCCTCCAGAGATTCTCGATTCATCCCTACCCGAATTTATCCTCGTCGTCTGACAAAGTGCCTACTCGCAAGCGTCGTCTGACGCATGTATGCCTCGACGCAATGGACCGTAAATCCCCCGCGGCGGATCCAGGCCATTCGCGAGCAGTGGAACGCGCTTGTCTGGTCACACCAGGTTTTTTCGCCCTGATCGATCTTGCTCGGGAAATGTCGCATTGGGTTCCAGTCGTGGTTTTTCACCGTTCATGAGCTTGTTTTACCACCACCACCATAAGTTGGAGGGGGGAAGTAGGAGAAGGAGGAGAACCCCCTCCCCCTCAAACTTATGGTGGTGGTGGTGGTGGTGGGAAACAGGCCCATGAACTGTGCTGCAAGTTCTCGCAGAGCCGTATCCCAGGGGGCGTGGGCACAGGACGGCACTGCCGCCCTGCGCCGTCCTGGTGCGTCCGAGAAGCCCTCTCGGTCAGGACTCCCGATGCAGGGGACCTAGGCCTCCCGGATGGGGTCGGAGGATCCCGCCGCATCGCCGATGCATAGGTGATGCCATTCGATGTGGCGCCCGTTTTTCTCCACGCCGACGTCGCCGACGCATCGCCGGCGTCGCCGGTGCATCGCCGGTGCATCGGCGATGTATCGCCGATGCATCGCCGATGCGGGGCGATCCTCCGACCCCATCTGCTCCGACCCCAACTGGGAGGTCTCTCGGGGAGCGATCCCTCGCCCAGAAGCCCCACGCCCTCCTGCGGAGGGGCTTCCCCCACCCTCCGCCCCGCCCCTCCGGTGCGCGAGCGCCGATGTCTGCTGCGACTCAGGTACGATGGCAATGGCTTCAAGTGTTCGTATTTCAACCGCAACGATCCCATCCAGGCGAAGCGTCCATGCCAATCCGTCGAGGGTGCGCTGGAGGCAGCGCTGGGTGCGGTTTCTGGCGGCGCCCAGGTAACTTTGCTGAGCATAACAGACAAAGGCGTGAGCGCAGATACGACGTACGCACTTGCCGCATCGCACGAAGCGGCATGCGAAAGGGATACAGGCCTCGAGGTGTGTCGCAACTGGAGCGACCAGACGGTCGAAAAAGCGAATTTGTGGATGAGAGAGGCGTGTTTGCCCATGTCCGTCACGGACATATCCAGTCGCCTTGGGCCCACCCGCCAGTGCGCCTGGGTTGTGTACGAGAGGCCTCTTGGGGACCTCTCAGCTTCTTAGAGTCTCTTGGAAGAGCTCTTGGGGGCCTTAATGCAGCCCTGTGAGGCCTCCGAGGGGTCTTCTTGGAGGCCTCAGAGGGCATGTTGGGCACATTTTGGGCGTCTGCTGGCGAACTCGGGGGCCCTTCTTTGGGGAGAGGACTCTAGTTGTGAGTTCGAGTTTCCCCTCTTGTGGTCCTCTTGGGTGCCTCAGGGGCACTCTCGGGCTGGTCTTGGTGGCCTCTTGGGCCGCAGCGAAAGTCATACGAGGCCTGCGATGTTCCCGCTATTTGGGCGTTTTTGGGGCCGGCACCCAGGGCTTCCAACGCGGCTCTGGAGACCCCCAGGAGAAGCACAGGACGACCTCCTGGAGCGGTCCTCCTCCTCCTCCTCCTCCTCCTCCTCCTCCTCCTCCTCCCTCCTCCTCCCTCCTCCTCCTCCTCCTCCTCCTCCTCCTCCTCCTCCTCCTCCTCCTCCTCCTCCTCCTCCTCCTCCTCCTCCTCCTCCTCCTCCTCGCCCCAAGAGAACTGACTTCAGATTCCGAGCCACGCTGTCTGGACTTCCGGGGAAGTCCTTCGATGATGTCCTCGGGGCGCCCGGGAGTGCCTAGAAGTGGTGTGAGTTCGGGATCCAGGGCCCTTGCAACAAGTCTGAGGGACTCGAGAAAACGCCACTCAATGTGGGCAGGGTGGCGGATCCCTTCTCCCGGAGCCACTCCGGCTGCGGTGGGAGGACAAAGATTTGGTCGGCAGCGTGATGGTGCAGTCGAGAACGTACGAGTACTTCATCCTGCCCCAGGCGAAGTTCAACAGCGAGTCCATGGGCAGCACAAAGGGGTGCTTCGCGTGGCACGTGAACGAGACCGGGCGCCGCCGCAAAAGGGGGCGGGGCAGGGGAAGCGGCCACCAGTAGAAGACGACGCCCCGCCTCGTCGAGGCCCTCGTGCCGTCCCAGCTCCCTGAGGGCGTCTCCCGGGCAGCCCGCGGAGGGCTGCTCGCCCCCTTCTGGGTGCAGCCCGCTGCCTGGTCGGACGGCCGCCCCCTCGCCTGCCCTGCCCAGGCAGCTGGCAGGGCGGTTCTTGCTCAGAGATCGTCACGGCCCTCGGAACTCTCGGCCCCCTTCCCCCGGGCTGTGTTTCCTGCATCCTGAGCCTCGGGGGCCCCCAGACGGTGTGGCGACCACACCGTGCGGCGAGTTGGTGGGGGTTCGGGGTCACCGCACGGCTTTGGGACTCGGGTCCCTCTCGCCGAGGACGTCTCGGGCGGCAGGGGCCTCCAGGGTCCCCCCAAAACCGTGTGGTGACGGACCGCGCGGTGAGGCTTCGGGGGGATCTCGAGGCCACCGCGCGGCCTGTCACCGCGCCGCTTTTGGGACTCCACAGAGGGTCGCCGGAACCCCTGGCGGCCCCAGGGGACCCAGGCACAGCCTCCAGCGGCCGAGAAAAAATCGCGAAGAGAGCCGGCCGCCCCGACCCCCTCGCCCCCGGAAGTTGCGGCGCGCCGTGCTCTGTGGCGCAGCGGGGGCCCCGAAGGTCGCGGCCAAAGCTCCTCCTCCCCCTCCTCCTTCTCCTCCTCCTCCTCCTTCTCCTCCTCCTCCTCCTCCTCCTCCTCTGGGACCGGCTCGTCGTCCCGAGGTGTTTGCTGGCGGCCCCAGGGCCAGGTCCAGGTGAGGTCTCCTAAGGACGAAGCCCTGTCCGTCTTGCCTGCTTGGACGGCGCGCGGAGGCCTGGGGAGCCGCCAGGTGGGTGGCCCCGTTCGGCCCGCCTCCACGAGCCTCCCGAGGTGCCCCAGAGGTCTCGCGAGGAGCCCTGCGGAGCAGTCTGGACTTCTGGACGCTTCGCCCCACCAGCCCATGCAGAAGCCATCAGAAACGAGGCCCAGGCGAGTTGCCTTGACCAGGCACCTGGAGGAGCATGCAGTGGAACAAGGGGCTGGATAAGACATCGTGCACCAAGAGAGCGACGATGGAGGAGGAATCGGAGGAGGAGCAGGAGGAGGAGGAGGAGGAGGAGGAGGAGAAGGAAGAGGAGGAGGTGGAGGAGGAGGAGGAGGAGGAGGAGAAGGAGGAGGAGGAGGAGGAGGAGGAGCAGCAGGGAGAGGAGGAGGGGGAGGAAGGAAGAAAGAGGAGGAATACGCGGATAAAGAAAGAGGAGAGGAAGGAGTAGGAGGGCGAGCAGAGAGGTAAACGACCTCTTGGATGCCATATTCTCTTTGGATGTCGTTCGAGAGCTTCTTGGATGCCTCTTGGGGCGTCTTGGGGGCCTCTTGGTGGCCTCTTGGGAGCCTCTTGGGGGCATCTTCGGGGCCGTCTTGGGGCACCCTTGGGAGCCTCGTGGGCCATCCTGGAGGAGATCGATCAAAGGATGAGCCCTAGTAAATTACCGCCCGCCCCCCCCCCCCGCCCCAGGAGGCCAAGCTGTATGCAAAACCGTTTGGAAAATGAATGATGCAGGCCTTCTCGCCGAGGATTCTTGGGGCGTCTTGGGTGCCTCTGGGAGGCGCTTGCGGATCTCTTGGGAGCCTTTTGGAGGCATCTTGGGGGTCCTCTTGGGGCCTCCTGGGCACCTCTTGGAGCCGTCTTGAGGCACCCTTGGGGGCCTCGTGGGCCATCTTGGGGCCATTTGGGAGGAGATCGATCAAAGTAGGGGCCGTAGTATATGACCGTCTCTCCCAGGAGGCTAAAGTGTAGCCAGAACCTTATAAGATTTATGATTTTGGCCTTCTCACCGAGGCGCGTCTTGGGTGCCACTGTGGGGCCTCCTGGAGTCTCTTCGGTACCTCTTAGGTGCCTCTTGGGAGCATCTTGGGGGCTACTCGGGGGCCTCTTGGGGCTTCATGCGCACCTCATAGGGCAGCCGTGGGGCCTCCTTGGGAGCCTATGTGGCCATCTTGGGGCCATATCGGAGGAGATCGATCAAAAGAGGGGAGCTCCTTGATTCATGGGGCCCCTCACCCCAGGAGGCCAAAATAAGGCCAAAGCCTCAGTCAAATCAATGATGCTGGCTTCCTCGCCGAGGCCATTTTGGACGTTCTAAATGCTTGCGAGCCCCCCGTCCAGACCCACTGGGAGGGACTTCCCCTGAAGGAGCGGGCAAACCCCTCCCACTGACGGGAATAGTGTCCCGCCCGTTCCCCCCACCAGGCCGCCCGTCCCAGATGCTTGCCGGAGTGCCCCCCCTATCGTCTTTCTGACTTCGGACGAGCTCAGGCTGGCCCCTCGCCCCCGAGGGTCTCCAAGAAGTCGCCTCTGGGCACCATATTGGGCCATCTTGAGGCCGTCTTGAGACCGTCTTGGGGCCGTCTCGGGGCCATTTTGCGCCACGTAGGCCCCTCTGCGGCCCTCTTGGAGCCATCTCGAGGCGTCGTCGACGCCCATCGGAAGCAGAAGGCCGGGAAGCCAGAAAACATGGAAAACACACAGTGTTGTTTGATGAGTCTCGCCTCTCTCCTCCTCCTCCTCCTCCTCCTCCTCCTCCTCCTCCTCCTCCTCCTCCTCCTCCTCCTCCTCCTCCTCCTCCTCAGGTGCCTCCTTGGCGAGCTCTGTGGCAGCATCGGGCCGTCTTGTGGCCGTCTGGGCGCCTCTTGGGCGCATGTTGTAGACCAGCCAGGGCTTGCGTCGACCACAGCGCGCCATCCTGGAAGCCACCTCGGCAAGTCTGGAGCTCTCTTGGAGCCATCTGGGTTGCCCAAGGGAAGTCCCGAAGGGGCCCAGACGTCCTCCAGTGGGGTCCAAGAGTGGCCCCAGATGCGCCCGAATCGGTAAAGCGCCAACAAGGGCCACCCCACCTTGGAAGACGGAACATAGCCAAGACACTCGAGATGGCCCAAACACGGCCCAGGACGGCTCTCAGACACCCCAAGAGACCCCCAAGATGGCCCAAGGGGGCCGCCAAGACGGCCACCAACGCTCCTAAGAGGCGCCCAGGAGGGCTCCAAGATGCCTCCGAAAATAACCTTTTGTCAGAGACTCCTTCCCGGACTCCCCGGCACCTTCCTAGACCCTTCCCGGGACTCCCAGACCCTTCCAGGGGTCAAACACCTTGAAAAGCCATCGAGATACTCATGCCAGTACATAAGGGTATGCGGGGGACAGCCAACTAAGTGATTGGGACCTCCTTTTTCACTTCAGTCCCAGAGGAGATGGAGTAAAATTCCGACTCAGGGATCTTGTCGAGTCAGTTGTTTCGTATCCTTTTCGGGCCAGTCACCTTTCTTTGCCCGTAGAGGAAGCGAGAATTTGAATAACGAGAAGACAGCGATTTATCGAATAGTGTCCAGGTTACGAAACGTCAGTTCGTCGAATGGTCACTGCGTGAAGAAAAACAATCCTTAGACAAAGGGGGGAGTATCACAGTGCGGGGGAGGGAGAGGGGGAAACCCTTCCCCAGGGGGGAAGAAGGCAAGATGCAAGCAGGAACTTGTTACACCACTCACGCGCTAAAGGGCTGGTGGGATTTCCCCAAGAAAAGAAGATCACCCAGGGACCTCGACCTCCCCCTGCCTCCCCTTGCCTCTCTCTGCTCCGTCCTCTTCGTCATCGCCCCCTTCCTCCTCTTCCTCCTCGTCACGAGCGTTTCTTCATCTTACCCCCCGCGCGGGCTCGCCACGCCCACCACGGGAGCGCAGAGCCCTGCACGTACGTACCAGCGAGCTCTAGAGTGCCTCGCTCCTCTGCAGCGGGATCTGTTCGAGCGGCATGCCGGATACCATCTTCTGTTACGACCGAGGTGACGTCCTGCGCCCCTGGCATTGTGCTGCATCCTAGATGCCGATGTAAGCCCCCCACATCCGAGGCCTTGATTATGTCAATGCGGTGCTCCCGGAGGTTCCGACCCTTTCCCCAGGGCCAGTTTCTCATCCCGAGTCGTTCTTGGACAGTCCCATGTCCCAGCGAGGGCCCCCGGAGGCCGCAAACGGGCAGAAGCCTGCCGTCGTGAGTCCCGCCACGACGCGAGCGCGCCTGGGAACAGCTCCTCCCCAGGAGACGCTCAACGTCAGCGCCATGCGCGCCGCGGCCCAGCTGTTCGTCGGGACGCACTCCTTCCACGCCTTCACCCACGGGCACGGCCGCGACAAGGACGCCGCGCGGCGCCTGAGCCGAGTCTCCGTCGAGCCGCGGCTCCGGGCCCCGGGCCGAGGGGCTGCCCCGGTCGAGGTTCTGGGGGGGGGGTAGCGCCCAGGGTCAAGTCGGGCGTGTCCCTGTACAGGAGGAAGAGTCAGAACGAGTAAAACAATAGTCTGAGGACAATGTTTTTAGTATTTTTTGACCGTTTTTGAGTGTGCTTTGAATATTTTTACTTGTCTTCCAAAATCCCCCTGTAGGAGGGGGGTCCTCGACTACGCATAGGAGTGACCCTTCGCCGGAGTGACCTTTGGTGCGGGCTCATCGGGCCCCCCCGATCGCTGAGCGCGATGCGATAGCGGCAGCTTGCGCGCTTGGATTTGGCCACCTTGCGCCCTTCACAAGCCGCGCACCAAAGGTCACTCTTACCCAGGGTCACTCTTGCGTGTAGCCAGGGGGTCACCATCAGGGGGGTCGCCCGTTCATTCTGGAGATGGAAGCGCCAGGATCGCAGTTCGAGGAGGTTTTCGGACGTTCGGGGTCGTGCTAAGAATCAGGTCGGGCCTGCCCTCCGACAGCGGGATCTTGGGAAAAGAATTCAACAATGGCCCAAACATCGCCACACATAGTCCAAAACAAGATTAGCGTTAAACAGAGTAATCAAAACGTCGTCCTCGTCCCCAGACTCTGTTTCGACTGCTTTTGAATCACTGCTCCCCCCGTGGAGGGACACGCCCGACCGACTTGGTGCTGGACGGCTCTGGAGAGCAGCCCGGTGGGCCCGCCTCCCTCGGGGGAAGGAGCACGGCGCTGCTCCTCGAGGGAGGGGGCGCCCTCCCCCGAGCGGTGGGCCCCCCGATGTGGGCACCGCCCCAGAGCTGCAGGAGGAGGAGGAGGAGGAGGAGGAGGAGGAGGAGGAGGAGGAGGGAGGGAGGGAGGGAGGGAGGGAGGGAGGGAGGAGGAGGAGGAGGAGGCTGGATCTCCAGAGCTCCAGCGCTCGGTTTTTCTTGTTTTGCTCGATCCCGGCTTCGTGCCTCGAGGAAGCGGCGCCCTCCCTGCCGATCGTTGTTCGGTTCATTGTTTTGCCGATTCCTTTTGTACATGTTCAATCCCGCTACTGTGGTAAGAATAAACGTGTTCGGAGATCTTGGAGGATGACGTCGCCATTATTATAAAAAAACAGCACGATGACCTAACCGAGCTTCAACGTATGAACATATCTCTAAAAATCGATCCCCAAATAGTCCCAGATGTCCCCCGTACCCCCCTCCCCCCCCCGCCGTGGACTAGACTTTGGCTGTTGTTGTTTGGCGCCCGCTTCGAGCAGGTGGAGCCTCCCCCTCCACAGGGCGCGCGGTTCCAAACCGTCGCATCCAGCAGAGGTCTGGAGCCAGACCCCCCCTCCGCCCTTCCGCCCAATGTCGAAACGCTGGATAAGAGAACGCTCACCATAGTGGTGAACCCATTGGCACTGCCCAGAGCTGTCAGGACGCTGCACAGGGTTTTGGTGTCCCAGCCGACTTTTAGCCTGGATCACCAGACAGAATTTCGAGCACCAAGACCGTGCCGAAACGGGAGGGTGTTCGCGTGTCGGGCCCTGGGGGGCGATACTCGTTCGACACTGTTTCGATACCTTTTTGGGTACTCGAGATTGTTTCTGGGATGTGGCCATTAAGTACGATGGGAACAACACAAGTACATGGCACCACGAGGCTGAATATCCATATCCAGATCTCCGATGATATGCTTTTGTTCTCGATCCTGGCTTCGTTCCTCGATGTCAGCCTCCGGGGCCCATCGTCGGGAGGCAGGGGTCGGGAGTTGGCGCGCCGCGGATGGAAGACTTCATATCGTCGGATTTCTGGGCACTGGTGCCGCCGCCGGCCTGGGCGAGAGCCGGATACACAGATGTGGCCAGGCGTCTTTTCCAGTGATCGGTATTTCTGTGGCCAGGTCCGCCGGGCTTCCGCGAGTGTATCCAGCGAGTGGCCTCTGGATGCTCCACATCAAGTTCGGGCCATGTGAGGCGTTCGAGAAATAGCCTCGCCTTCGAGGATCGCAGGATCTGTCATCTCTTCCTCGGCGGAAGGCGGCGGAATGTCGGCGGAAGTATAACGAGGCCGCCTCCGACGGTGGAAGCTCGGCGGAAGGCGGCGGAAGTAAAACAATGCGCCCCCAAGAGATGAAAACGTTTTTGGGCTCAGGGTGTCCGGAAGCGGCCTCATGTGGCCAGACGTGTGTCCAGTTCTCGGTCTTTGTTGTGGCCATGTACGCCGGGCCTCCGCACTTCCGCAGGCGTATCCAGCGAGTGGCCTCCGGATGCTCCGCATCAAGTTCGGGCCATGTGTGTTTCTAGCTTGCACACGTGCGCCGTGGCCTCGGCCCCGGCTGCTGCCGCGGTCCCCGCTGCCCCGGCTGGCCGCTCCGGCCTGCTCATCGCGGAACTCTTCCACGTCTGGGCGCTTCCCCCCTCCTCCCCTCACGCGCGGCCGCCCTCGTCTTCGTTCTTCCTCTTGCACGCCGGACGATTCGCCATTCGGTTGCAACGATTCGCCTCAACTTGTGCGGACTGCCTCTGCCTCGCCCCCGACGAAATTGCTTTCAGCTGCCCGGTGAACTCTCGGAGGTCCCCGCGGGCTGCTGCCGGTGGCGCCCCCGACGAAATTGCTTTCAGCTGCCCGGTGAACTCTCGGAGGTCCCCGCGGGCTGCTCGGGGAGGAGGAGGAGGAGGCGGAGGAGGCGGAGGAGGAACAGGAGGAAGAGGAGGAGGTGGAGGAGGAGGAGGAGGAGGAGGAGGAGGAGGAGGAGGAGGAGGAGGAGGAGGAGGAGGAGGAGGAGGAGGAGGGGGAGGATGAGGAGGAGGAGGCGGAGGCGGAGGCGGAGGAGGAGGCGGAGGAGGAGGAGGAGGAGGAGGAGGCGCTGGGTCTTCCTTTTCCCGCACATTCGCCCAGGGCGGCGCTGCCAATGCGCCGCCCCCCGGCGCGCGGAGCGCGCGCTGGGACGGGAGTGCGTGGCCCGGCGCCGACCCCCTTGAAGACCCGCGCGGACCTCCGCTTGTCCTTGGCATCGCTCGGACGTGTGCATTTTTCCTTCGGCGAGGACCATCGAGGAGCATCCTTGATCATTTGGCGAAAAAAACACGCACGAAACCGAACAAAAACACAGGCAATGGACGTCCGAGCGATGGCCAGTCTCTGTGTGTGCCACTGCTCGAGTCGGGGTTCGACTACAGAGTGGCTCTGCCCCCGAAGCATGGCTTCGTCGTCTCGTCAAAACTGCGAGACGCACGAAGCATGTCCTGAGATTCGACCGCCACTCTGCGTCTTCTGTCGTCGCCTCGACGAGGAGAATCAAGTCAGGGGTATCTCCATGTTGTAGTCGACCCCCATACTCGAATTGTTGGGTTCTTATTCAGGTGCTCTGCATCACGATCTCGGGGGACAGCTTCCTGTACCGGATGTGCCGCCTCATCGCCTTCGCCTTGGTCACCTCTCGCCGGCGGGGCACACAAGAGGGGAGCTTCTGAGAAGGCAGGGTGCTGCTTTGAGACGGAATGGCATGAATGACCGGAGCCTTCTGATACAGTGGAGGCCCATGCCAAGAAACACCCTGCTTGCCTCCAGGGTGCCCTGGGTTTCGATGGTTTTTCGATTGAAAGCGTGACGCCCCTACACCAGAAAAGTCCATTGACGTCCTGGGGTCGCAGGGTTGGGCTTCTTGTGGAAGGTTTCTTGTGCACTGGCCTTCACTGGAAGATTGAGTCGGGCGTGCCCCTCTACAGGAGGGATATCCACAAATAGTAAAACATTGACGATGTCCAACCTTTTTTTGTTAAGAGAATGGAATATGTATGGACAATGTTGCATCCTTCCTCGAACACCGGCCTATAGGAGGACATCCCCGACCTGAGCATTTGGAAGACCACGCGCCCCTCTGCCCCACCCCCCCGCGCGCGCGCCGCCAGAGGGCCCCTCTCCCGCCTCCCCCCAGGCCTCCGTGGTCTTCGCGAGGAGATCCAGGAGGGTAACAAAACACACACCGACGCAACTCATCGTCGACTCCAAGGAAAATATGGGAGAATACTAGGGGAACAAAAAGTGGCATAAACATAAAAACTCGGAGGTCCGCGCGGACCTCCGAGTTTTCATGTTTATGTCACATTGTGTTGCCCTAATATGGGTAAATGGGAAAATACAGGCCTCGGAAAAATAGCGAACACTCATGCCACATTCATCTGCCGACGCCTCCCCCTCCCCCCATAATGTTCAAAGTTGGCGGTGGGTCTGCTGAGTTGCCATTCGACCGCACCCTCCCCCGCGCGTGCCAACTTTGAGTTTTGGGGGGAGGGGGGGAGTGTGCAGTCATTGCTTCCCTCTACCGTATGGAAAGTGTGGGGAAGACGACGACACAGAAAAGATGAGAACATACGGGGAATCGTGGGATTTGTGTCTATTTCTATGTGTGTGTCCCGGGGCCCCTTCGCAGGCCTCCGGGCGTCGCGAAGAGATCACGACGGCTGGCCCATTTTCGCGACCTCTTGAGGCCGAGTCTCGGGCACGGCGACCATCAGCAAAACGTCCAAGACGAAGATCAAGGGAGGAAAAGGCACCCATACCTCATACCTCCACCCTTTCCTCGTTCCCCCCCTTTGTAGACCTTCTCGGAGGCCATCGTCGCCTCCGCTGAAACTCGCTTCGACATCCTGGTCAGAACGCACCCCCGGGAGAGGTCCGAGGAGTAGCGGTATCGGCGCCGTTTGCGGGCAATACTTCTGTCTACATCCACTGCAGTATGGAGTTTCGGGCTCCCTTCCCAAGAAACCCGAGGCGCACTGGATATGGATGAATTTGCCCCCTAGAGGCTCGATTTTTATCCATATCCAGTGCCCCTCGGCCTTGTGGCGCCGCTTCCGAAAAAGTCCAAGAGGCACTGGATATGGACATGAATCTTGCCCGCACCTTTTGGACTCCCCAGAAAAAAGAACGGCGTTGGTTGGGAATGTATCGGCTTTTGGAACGAAGGACGAACGGTCTGGCAACCAGCCACAGCGGCCTTGCCCTCGATGCCGCGCGTGCGCCTGGGCAGACGGGGCAAAGAGGTTGTTTCTTTGCTCGTGGAGTCCGCACCGTCCGTGGCGGGGGGGGTCGCTCCCCCCCCAACCCCCCTCAATGGTAACGAGCGTACGGGGGGGGGCGGATCGGCGGCCCCTTCACAGATATTGCGCCGTGCTCGCAGGCAGGCACGGTGTGGTGCTGACAGGCATCGATGGGCCTCCAGACGCCTCTGAAAACCTTCAGCGGCGGTCGTCGTCGTCGTCTTCGTCGTCGTCGTCGTCGTCGTCACGATCGTCACGGTCGTCGCGTTCGTCACGGTCGTCACGGTCGTCACGGTCGTCGCCGCCGTCATCGTCGCCGTCGTCGCCGTCGCCGTGTTCGTTTTCGTTCTTGTCGTCGTCGTCATGGTTGTCATCTTCGTCGCCGTCGTCGTCATTATCGTCGTCGTTATTGTCATCTTGGTCGTCGTCGTCGTCTCCAGGGGCCTCGAATGGCCTCCAGACACCTCCAGAGGCCTCCGCAGACCTTTTGAGACCTTCAGAGGCGGCCGTCGTCCTCGTCCTCGTCCTCGTCGTCCTCGTCGTCCTCGTCGTCACCTTCTCCGTCACCGTCACTGGCGTCGTCGTTGGCGTCGTCGACGTGGCCGTCGTGATCGTCATCCTCGTCCTTGTCCTTATGCTAGTCGTCCTTGTTGTCGTCGTCGTCGCCGTCGCCTCCGAGGGCCTCGATGGGCCTCCAGGCGCCACCAGAGGCATCCTGAGATCTCCTGAGGCGTCCAGAGACTTCTGGAGACCTTCAGAGGCGGCCGTCGTCGTCGTCCTCGTCGTCGTCGTCCTCGTCGTCGGTCGTCATTGTCGTCGTTGTTGTTGTCGTCGTCGTCGTCGTCGTCGTCGTCGTCGTCGTCGTCGTCGTCGTCGTCGTCGTCGTCGTCGTCCGTCGCCTGCAGCCCCCGCCGCGGGGCCCGACCAGGACCGTAACGAGCGGCTTGCACCTTGGGGGTCCGATGTTCGGTCCAGAGGGACACGTGCCCGTCGGTCGGTCTGGCGGCTGTGGTGTCGCCGTCGCCGCCCTACACCCCCCTGGGATTATCGATGCACCCTGGGGGTGCGCGGTTTACATGTGATTCCGCCCCATCGTTCATTCTAAGTGTGTGTGTGTTCGTGCCACCCCAGTTTGGCCGGGCTCCCCCCCATCATCCGAGTTACAGAATGCTATGTGGGCACACTTGTTAATCAAAAGATATTCGTTTCAAAGGATCCCTCCCAGCAAACAGGGCGAAGTGCACACGCACGCGTCGTCGCGCGCGTGTATCCGAATTCCGTCAAAAATCATGGGTTTCGTAATGAGTTCAAAATCGAGTGCCCCGACAAAACATATAAACACACATTGTTTTCAACATGGCGTTTCAAAACAGCTCGCGCGCGTTATTGCGAATGTTCAAGAAACCATCGGTTGTTGAACATGTCCGACGCACATCATCGCCACCGCGGCCGCGTCGGTCGCGCCAGACTAGCTGGCTGCTCTGCGCGCGAGCCTGCGCGCGCTCGCGCGGCCGCAGCGACGCGCCAGCCAGCGCCAAGCAGTCATCGCAATCGCCGCCGCATGTGCTTTGCAGACCACGTTGCGGGTGGGTGGGGTGATTGCGCGAGCAGTGGGTTTGACAGTTCACCGCGGACAAGAATTATTCGCACCACAGTTTGCACCACATATATATATATATATATATATATATATATAGCACACCATAGCTTGCCCCACAAAGCACATGGATCGCACACCCTGTTCCGCTAGAAGCGCACCGCTTGGGGGGCACGCTGGCCGACATCAGCTATACGTCAGACGGGCTGCGCCCGCACGGCTGGCCACCGCCACCCCGGAGGCAGGGATGCGAGCAGCAGGGCCGGACGAGGGGGCACATGCGACGGGGCAGGGTGCAGCAGAGCAGAGCGAGCAGCAGAGCAGCGCGCGGGCAGGGCCGCGAGGGCGAGCGAGAGGGCAGGCCAGCACGGCACTCGCGGGGGCGGCGGGCAGCACGGGCGTGCCCCCCGGCGGCCCACCAGGTCATGGTGGGCCTGGGGCGGCGGAACGCCGCGTGGGTGTCGGAGCTCCTGGCGCAGAGGCGGCGGTGGCGGCAGCTGCGGCGGAACCGGCTTCGCCCCGCCCCGGCACACGGCCTCCGCCTCGCGGACTGCGCGCTGCGCGCCCCGCCCGACCTCGGCCGGCTCCGCGCCCTGCTGCAGGAGCGGGAGCGCTCGCGCGGCGCCGGCGCCCAGCCCGCCCCCGCCTGAGGACGAGAGCTGCAGAGGGGCCTCCACCTCGTGCCCGGGGGGCGGCCCCGAGCCGGGCGGAGCGGCAGACGGGGTCGGGAGGGCCGCGCCGCATCGCCGGCGCAGGGGCGGGGCGGCGCGATCTGGAGCCTGCTCTTCTCCACCCCACCGTCGCCGACGCGTCGACGAGGTGCACTGGCGAGTCGGCGCGCTCCTCCAGCCATCTCCAGCCCCGTCTGCTTTCTCTTTGGCCCCGTTTCTGGAGGCACTCTGCCGGAGGCGGGGGAGCCAGGCAGGCGGTCGCCCTTGAGCGCGTACGGCGGCCGCAGAAGGGCTTGACGCCACCGTGGAACGTCGAGTGCGACGCGGTGCTCTTTGGCGTGCTCGGCGATGCGGCTTTGTCTGCGGCGGCTCTCTGTGGCGGCCTCCGCGGCGCCTCTCTCGACGTCGTGGACCTGCGCGATGGCCATCACCGGCATGGGGGTTCGGTGCGTTGTTCGCCGCGGCTCGGGCAGCAAGAGCCGAAAGATGATCCTCGCCCTCCGCCTCCTCCTTCTCCTCCTTGTCGCTACCCCTTCCTGCTTCTCCTCCTTTTTTCCTCGCCCTCCGCGCCCCTTCCTTACCCTTCTCCTCCTCCTCCTCCTCCTCCTCCTCCTCTTCCTCCTCCGCCTCCTCCTCCGCTTTAGCAATGACATTGTCATATGGTCAGTTCTCAGTTCTTCTCCTCCTCATCCTCCTCCTCCTCCCATGTTGGATTGAATCTCCAGGAAGCGATGTGCTCCTGGTACCTTGAACACTACTCACTGCCGTATCTGTTCGGGTCCCTGGTGAGGCTCAGCTTGGCCCCCTCCTCAGTCGCGACACAGTGGCATCCGTGAAAGAGTTCTCAGCGCAGAGGGGGAGAAACATCATGCGCTGTCGGTGACCGTTGAAAGTAGGACACGTAGTAGCAATTCCTGCTATAGATCGATCGTGTAATTGATTGTGAAATTGGCAGATCGAGAGAACATATCGACATGCACCTGTAGATATACGAATATCAGAGTGAGGGGCCGAACGGTCATTCACTGTCCCTGGGCGCGTGTCTGAAATGGGATTATGTGGTGCGGATTGTTGTTGTTGATGTTGTTGTTGTTGAGTTCCACTTCCTAGGATTCAATGACTGTTGCTCCCCTCCTCTGGCAACCAATGCATTGTAATGTTTCCCCTGGGGTTCGCAACCTGTTTTGCCACAAAGGAAGGTGAGGTGTCATCAAACTGTGTTGTTGCCCCCCTGGCTGAACACAACAATGGCACTAACAATAACAATAGCAATACCAACACCAACAACAACATCAACAAAAACAACAACGCTCTCGCTCGCGCGCGGGACTTCATCACAATTTATACAGGAATCGTGTTCTCGAGTGGGACTTCCCCACAATGTATTGAGACCGCGCCCTCGACAATCAGGAATCAGGCTCTCGCTGTGGATTTCCTCATGAATTATTTGGGAATCGCGCGCGCTATCGCTCGAGACTTCTTCGCGATTCATGCAGGACGCAAGCTTCCGTAACCCGCCTGCTCGACCTGGCCGCCTGGGCCCGCCTTCCCGACCCGCCCTATCCCGCACGTTTGTGTCTACCCGCCCGATCTGCTCGTTTGGTCCTGCCACCTATGTTCTGCTCCGAGTCCCCCTCCTGCTATTCTCTCTCTCTCTCTCTCGTGCTCCTCCTCCCTCCCCCTTGCCCCTTCCTTCCATCCGTCCTCTCTTCCCCTGCCTTAGGGGCTGCGCGAACTGCACGTTGGAGGTAAGAAAGATATACCCCTAATGGGGGCACGATCCAAGACGAAGAGGGCGGGTACCAAGGGTTTGGGGTATACGTGTTGAATGGCACGCGGGTAAGCAAGGGCAATTTGGTTGACATGGATTGTTGTTGGTATTGGTGCTGGTGCTGTTATTGGTGGGGTTGTTGCTGTTGTTTCTGGTGTTCCTGTTGTTGTTGTTTGTGCTGTTGGTGTTGTTGGCACTCGTGTTGTTGTTGCTGCTGCTGCCGCTGTTGTTGTTGCTGTTGTTGTTGTTGTTGTTGTTGTTGTTGTTGCGTGTGTTGGTGGTGGTGTTGTTGTTGCGTTGTTTGTTGTTGGTTGTTTGGTGTATGTTGTTTGTTGTCGTCGTCCCACCCGCGACCCTGTCCGCGACCCACCCGCGACCCACGCGCGACCTACCAGAGACCTTGCCCGCGACCCACCCGCGAACCACCCGCGACCCACCCGCGACCCATCCGCGACCTCTGACTAACAATTAAGCGTTTGCGGCGGGCTCGTTGTGTAATGTGTTAAAAGGTCGGCGCTTGCGGTGGGCGTCTTCAGAGCCTTGCAGACTGCCGACAACCCCGTCGCCCTCTCACTCTTATCCGCAACTGCGGGGTGCTACATACTATGCGCGCGCATTTGCTTATAAGCATGTATCACTTTGTAGTGGGAGCGATAGCTACGGAGATCGATACACGTGTATCGCGATCGCTTGATTGACAGACCGCGGGCCCGACCTGACGCCAATCGCAAACCGAACATTGCACCATCTACCCACCCACCCTCACTCCGTCGCATACGACGGGCTGCTTGTGCGGGGTATGTATATATAAACATGGTGTGTATGCTTGTGTGTGCGTGCGTGCGTGCGCGTGCGTGCGTGCATGCGTGCGCGCGTGTATGTGTGTGTGTGTGTGTGTGCGTGTGTGTGCGCGTGTGTGTGTGAATGTGTGTGTGTGAAGGTGTGTGTGTGTGTTTGTGTGTGTGTGCGGGTGGGTGTGGATGTGGGCGTTGGTGCGGGCGTGGGTGTGCGGGTGTGTGTGTGTGTGCCCGCCATACGCCCTTCCGCCAGCGCAGTGACTCTGCCTAGCCGCCGACGCAAAAACGTCTGTGTGTGCGCGAGTGTGTGTGTGTGTGTTTGTGTGCGTGTGCGTGTGCGTGTGCATGTGTGTGTTGTGTGTTGTGTGTTGTGTGTGTTGTGTATTGTGTGTGTGCGAGTGTGTGTGTGCGTTCGTTCGTTCGTGCGTGCGTGCGTGGGTGGGTGGGTGGGTGGGGGAGGGCGTGGGCGTGGGCGTGGGCGTGTGCGTGGGCGTGTGCGTGTGTGCGTGTGTGCGTCGTCGCGTGTGCGTGTGGCAAAAATTGTGTGGTGGTGGTGGTGTGTATATGTGTGTGTGGCATGGTGCGTGTGTGCATGTGTGTGCGTTCGTGTGTCAGTGCAGTGCTTCTCTCTCTCTCTCTCTCTCGCGTTCCCTCTCCTTCTCCGTCCCCTTCTCTCTGCCTCTCTCTCTCTCTCGTCCTCTCTCTCTCTCTCTCTCATGAGCTCTCTCCTCGTCCGCTCCCCCGCGCTCGCCTCCTCCGCCGCCCGTCGCCCTCCGCCTGCCGCTCTTCCATTCGCCCCGCCCCCCCCGCGTCGGCCCGCCGCACCCCGCGCGCCTCGGGCTCATCAGGCGCCAGGGGTGGCCCGGGGACGGGCGCGCGCGCGGCGCCCGGGCGGCCCCGTTCTCCCTGGGCTCCTCCTCCTCCTCGTCTTCCTCCTCCTCCTCCCCCTCCTCCTCCTCCTCCTCCGCCTCCTCCTCCTCATCATCATCATCATCATCATCACCATCATCATCATCATTATCATCATCATCATCATCATCATCATCATCATCATCACCATCATCATCAGCAGCAGCAGCATCATCATCAGCAGCATCATCATCAGCTTCAGCATCATCATCATCGTCCTCCTCCTCCTGGGCCTCCTCCTCCTCCTCCTCGTCCTCCTCCTCCTCCCCTCCTCTTTTTCTTACGTTTGACCGACATGAGCTATGTGGCTGTTGCGTTCTCCTCCTTCTCCTCCTCATCCTCCTCCTCGTCTTCCTGGTCCTCGTCCATGTCATCTTCCTCGTCCTCCTTCTGCCCCAGGCTTTCTCCAGATCCAGCGAGTACCCCAAAGCGAGAAGAAACGCAGATAGACGAACGATCCTCCTCCTCCTCCTCCGCATCCCCCTCCCTGCACATCCCTCCTGCGTGCACCCTAGATGAGGCCAGAAGCCTTCAGAAGCTCCCAGAACCTATGAACCCGCATCAGAATCCTCCTGTCCCGCTTCCTCGCGTCATCGTCGTCGTCGTCGTCGTCCTTCTCCTCCTTCTCCTCCTCCTCTTCCTCTTTATCCTCCTCCTCCTCCTCCTTCTCCCTCCTCCTTCTCCTCTTCCTTTTCTCGTGCGATGCCGGAATACATCGTGGTGCGTTGCTGCTCTTGCCGGACCCACCAGGCGATTCAGGCGAACAAGAAGGGCAAGTTCGACTGCAAGCTCTGCAGCACGAAGCAGTCCGTGCAGGCTGGGCGACCAGAAATCTGAGTCGGAGATTTATCAATAAACACCGCCACGGGGATCGGGCTTCGGATGTCTCGGCGGGAGGCGGATATGGATATAGTCGGTCCATGGGGGGGGGGGGTCATGTATCCATATCCGTCGCCTGCCGAGGCCCCCAAAGCTCGATCCCCGAGGTGGTGCGCATGGACGAAGCCACGCCTCGCAAGGAAAGGGCCCCCGTCTGGGTCCGAACGAGACCACGTCGCTCCCCGCCGCCCGCGTGCAGCGCAGCGCGCGGGACTGGCACGGGAACCTCGAGGGGCGAAAGCAGGAGAGCCCTCGAGGGCGGGATGAGGCGGCTGGAAGCTGAGAACCCTGGAGGGGGAGAAGGAGCCGGGGGGGGGGAAGAGGGAGGGGGGCTCACGAGCAAGGAGGGGGGACACCGGCGGGCGGAAGAAGCTGGGGAGGGGGCAGCGAGAGAGGCCCAGAGGCTCCAGGAGTTGCAAGCACGCCGGGAGGGGGGGGAGGAGGCCCAGGCTGGGCGGCAAGGAGCTGCAGAGCGGAGGTCGAGGCCTCCGTGTTGCCTGAGATCCTGCCCCTGCAATTTCTTCACGCAAAGGGCGTTTTCGCTCAGCTTTTCGGGCCCCGGGACCCGCACAGATCGATCCGGCTCGAACCATGCAGCAGAGGAGAGCTCTGGTGGTGATATT